TTTTCTTGTAGAATCCAATCGTAAATATACAATTAAAAATATTATCATTTTAGTTAATTTGTTAATTAAATTAAATAATGATGTTTTATTTGTTAAATTAATAAAATTGTATTAATAAGTATTATAAATATATTATCGTTAAAAATATAATTTCATAATACTGTACTATAGTTATTTTTAATTTATCTATATTTTAATAACTGTTGTATAATAAATAAAAATCATAAATCATAATATATAAATACTATAATATTAAACTAGTTTTCATAACATCAAAACTACTTGATTTTACTATTGTTTGTATGATATACCAATTTAATAAAAAAAATGTTATATAAAAACAATTTCGAATAACATTTATTCTGCTCCTTTGTTCTATAATTGTCACTTGCAAAAGCCAAAAAAAGATTTTAATTATCGGTTTAAAAAATGTGTAAAAAATTTGCCACAAAAAAAATAAAAAAAATTAACACAGAAAAACCGAATTGTGCCGACCCATGATGTCATTATTAAGACTGTATATGTTTTTGTATTTATGTAAACAAATCAATATTGTATTAAAAAAATTAATATATTGTTTGTAAGCTTAAATCTGGCATATTGGAAAACCCCATTTTTGTCGTAAAAAGCAAAACACAATTTACTAAAAAGTTGGGTAATAAAAAATAGTAATTGTCATTACGAAAAAAATCAATTTTCAAAATAGGAATTAATAATTGCAGATAATACAGGATCGGTTATCTCAACATCGTGTGTAAATTTATCGTCGTTTTGAGTGTCATTTTAAGAGTACAACAAAAAGCAATTTTCAACGTGTGAACATGATAATTTGTACAGTTTTGTTCTGAAACAACAGAAAATATATATATATATATAAAAGCAAAAACGTGTTTTTAGTAAAAGATTGTAAAATAAAAGAAAAAAGAAAAAACTAATGCGGGTTTCCTAAATTCATTTGTGCCAGATTTAAGCGTACAAACAATATAAAACAATTAGAATGTTAGTTTTTCTAATAAAATAGATTCTTCAAAATAATATAATTATATAAGCTCCAAATAGTAATAATAAATTAAAATATAATTATATTAAATATTTTTTTTTATTTTTATAACTTAATTAGAGTATAGTATATTTACAACAACTCACTAATTTTATTCAAACAATAAATACCCGATTAACACCACATTTTTTATCTATTCATAAGCCTAAAAAACAACTTTTGATTATTAAAAGTCTTTCTTACTTTATTATAGAACAAATACAACTAAAAAATATGAAAAATTGAACGAACAAATGAACAAAAAATGGGAACTCGTGAAACTCAAAAACGAGAGAATGGAAGGGTGTCAAAAAGATCAGCGTAAGGTCCCAAACAAACTTCTTCAAACCACACTCAACAACATCCAAGAAAAAATACCAAATACAAACGCGATATATGTTGTTGGGCTTGGCGGCAAAAATGCGACATACATCGGGTCTATCATCAAAGTCCAAAAGAAAAAGGAAAAGCGAAGAAAGTCCTCGTCGCGTGAGAGTGTGTCATTTGAAGAAGTTTTGTCGTCGCTCTCACAACTTATTTTAGCCACTTCTGCTGTTGGTAAAAAATATGAAGATACTGATGTGATAAAAACGATGCATTTGCAAGGTGTCGACTCGATGATAACGATTGTAATGAATCAACGCCAGAACTACGTTTGTTCATTTCACTTCTGTCGTAACCAATTACAATACTAATGTGAAGGTAGTAGTATTTGATTCTGATATTACTGAACAACGTTATGACTTCGATGACACACTCTTCACAATTTGTCTTCCAATCTTCGACTCGTTGCAGCGAAATCCCTCGCAATAATTTTTACAGTGCCAATCCAGCATTATTGAATTATCTTTACTTTACTCGCAATTGTTCAAAATATCGTTATAATGAAGAAATAGTCCTTCATAATTTGTCTAATGTAACAGAATAATAATCAATGCAAAACATAAAAGCAGCAATAAATAAATTACACAGATATTGAGTTGTAACACTCATTGTATTGGTTTTGAAGCATGAGCCCATACATCGAGAAGACTACTCGTTTCTGGGTGATCATATTTATAAGTAGCCTGATGGGTTCTTGGAAATAGACTGTATTTTTCAAAGAGAAATGAAACTCGTTGTTCAAAATGTACTCCTTTTTATTCTCGTTCGACGGTTCTGCAAACGAATTGTAGATCACAACTATTGGTGTGTTCTGTCGTGTCTTTTTCATAATAAAATCTGCCCATTTGAGTGCTCGCTTTTCTGCACCTTTCTGTGACGCATTGATCATCAATATGAAGCCATCCATCTTCTTGTAACACGACGCGAAAAAGCCCTGTTTTAGTTCATTGGCTATATCCCATAGCTCCAACCTCATTTTGCCGTGACTTGTTTCAAGGAAAATTGGTTCAACTACAGCACCTATTGTTGGATAATACTCTTCTTCAAAGTAATTAGTAAGCAACTTGTGTATAAAAGTGGTCTTGCCTGTGAATGGATCACCGACAATCCCAATCTTGAAGTTGAATGTGAGTCGACTAGACATCGTGCTTTGTGTTATTCAGAACAGTTCATTTCATATAAATATCAATGATTACCGTCAACAAGAAGAGACCTTCGTTTTTGTAGGTGTTTCGTTTTCTCATACTGTTTTCTTGTATAACAATTGATGGTCGTTTTCGTCATGACACTTTTACTGTTCTATTTTAAGAAACCAATAAGAAAACAATGATTCACATGTTTTTTTGGCTATCAAACGGGTATTTGGTTTTTTGAAACTATGTGCGATTTATGTGGTGGGGGTTACTGTGGTTTATCGGGAATTTTTTCATTTTGGAAACTATACATGTTCCATATAAAAGTTATAATTGAACCAAACGAAATGAGTCAATAATTAGACTTTTTTGGCCTTTAATTTCTATCGACTTGTCAAATTACACTTTTTGTATTTTTTTGTTGCGTCTTATTTGAATGTTTAAAAGGGAAGTTTCGATAATAAAAAAACGATTTAAATGCTTCAGTACATTTTGCCATTTCAATTGATTGTTTTGTTCTATTTTAAGATTATTTGAGGGATAGTAAAAAGACAACGAGTGACAAAGCTTTTATATTTTTGTTTTGATGTGAATATTGTGTATACTGAGTATCAAATATGTCATAATTTTACATGCAAAAACTGTTATTTTTTATTACTGAAAACAGGCACTTCTCTTGGAAAATAAGTGAGTTTCTTATGATTTTATAACTTAAAAATTATGAAAAAAACAAAACTCAAAGTTAAAAAATGGAGTGTGTTTTTTTATTTTTCAATTCAACTAATGATCCAAAAATTTAGTAACAACCCCCAAAATACCACGAAAATTAGAAATATTAAATTAACAACTATAATATATAGTAAATTAAATAAATATTAAAAAGTTATTAATATAATAGTCGTTTTTATTCAATTTAATCTTTCATTTTTAACAATTAAATGATATGAACTGAATATTCAGTAAATGGAAGATTTATCAATTTTTTATGAAACAGACTTTTCTACATCTCAGCGGGACCTTTGCCCAAGGTGTGGTCTTCACGTTAACATCTGTGCCTGCCATATAGTGAAGGAGCAATACAACAATTCGATTCAAATTGTGATATTGCAAGACCCTCGCGAGGCTAAGACCAAAGTGAACACAGTCAAGCTCATTACAAATTTATTTCAAAACGTTCAAATTTACAAACGAAACCTCCCCGAAACCCTAAACCGGAAGATTGCTGCAAACAAAGAAAATTATGCTGTTTTATATCCATCAAAAGTTGCCAAACCAATTGACTCAGGTGATGACATTACATTCACAAAAAAGTACACAACAATTATAATCGTTGACGGGACTTGGGAACAAGCGAAGTCGGTGTACAACAGAAATGCTATTCTTTCCCAAATTGATAACGTTTGTTCCACACTGTCGCTGGCTCTTCAAGCGCATCAATTAACGTGTAGCTGATCTTAGTGAACGGCGAGAAGTATTGTCGCTATAAAACAGTTCGAAAAGAAATAGATGGAGGGATGTCAACGTTCGAAGCCACAGCAACAACACTTTCTTTGATTCTGAACGACCCTTTTCTTATCACGGAGCGCGATCGGATCATGGACGAGTTCATCACGATGAGGACGCGCTTCTTCAAGTGACTTCTTCTAATCGATTGCTTCTAAAAACAAATGTTATAATTTATAGTATATTAACCATTCACATATACTAATGAAGAGAATGAAAGAAATAATCAACTCAAATTAAGCGACAGTCGCGTCATTGATCTTCATATAAGCGTCGGCTCCCTCTGTCCCGGCGTGCTTTCTGTTCTTGAGGAATTGCAAAATGGCGAGAGTACCGAAGACGCCCAAAACGAGGAGGAGTGTGACATCAGCCATACAGATGATGACGATGAAGGCAATATCACAGCCGTCCTCGAGGCTTTGGTCACCAGTGGAGATGGTTGGATCGAAGCATTCAATTGGTTTTGAGTCACCTGATGGGACGGCAACAATCCATTTTCCGTCGCATTGGTAATCGACGGTGTAAGTGATACCAGTAAGGCCGTCGTTCAATTGAGCAGTGACTTCAGTGTTTTCTTTGTTAAATCCGTTCTCACTGTAGAACAATGGGACTTGAGTATTGGCGTGGTTCAAAACATCTTCGTTAGTTCCTTTAATCTTGAAAACGGCTTTTAGGGTTCCCATGACGACGTTTTCTCGAGTGAAGACTTGTTGTCTATCGTCTGAAGCGAAATCGATAGTGAAGGTCACTGTGTCGATGTTGATAGTAGTGTTAGTCTCGGTGTTATCTGGGTTGTTGATGAAAGTAATAGAGTAGTCCAAATCCTTTTCGAAGTTGGAGTTTTTAATAGTGCAAGACTTGGTGCATCTAATGATAGTGCAGAACGAGCCGTTTGTGCCTTCGACTTTTTGTTGTTTGCCAACAGACAAGGTTGCTCCTTCTTCAAGTTTGTATTGGGTTCTGTTTGATCCCAACATCACGGTTTCAACACTCAAAGTGTCTTTCACTCTCAACGCAAAAGTCAAGTCATACGTCTTACCAATAATAGTAGCAACAGTACCAGTGACATTGGAAAGATCTCTGTCGGGGAATTCGGTATAGTCAAGGACACACCCCTCGACGCCTCGGCATGGGCACTCAGTTCCACAGTACCGCTCATGGTAGTTTTCGTTGACCTCGAAGTTTGTTTGATCCGATGACTCGGTGTTTTTGTCGAAGGTGCATTTCACCTCGGCCGAAGCACAGAACGCAAGGGCTACCAACAGGAAGAGCATTTCAACCTTTCAAGTTTCAGTTGATTTTAAATCAAGGTATTAGTCCAAATAGATTTTTTACTATTCCGTATAGTTTGCACAACCTAAATCCTTCTGACCCTTGGGACGAAGAAGTGGACCAACTCCGTCTAGACTTCTTTGCTTTTCTGTCGCATTCTGCGGAATCCTTCAGTCTCTGGAAGTTTCTCCTCTTTTCGAGGAGCAAATGAAGTCCAAATCCCCCGGTTCTGTTCATTATTGATGGCTCTTTTACTATTGGTTTTGCTTTCTTTTTTTTGGTTATAGAACGTTCCGTTGGCTTCTTTTGGTTTTTCTTAAATTTTCAGTTCCGTGGCATTTCTGGAGTTTGAATATCCTCCCAAAAGTGCTTATTGTTAATAATTTACTTGGAAAATTTTGTGATATCATAATATTCATGCGTTTGTGGGATCGTTCAACCAGTAAACAACTCTTCAAAAACAAAAATTATAACAATTCTGTTTTCGACTATTTAACGGGAGATCTCAAAATTTTTGACAATTGAACTAAAAATAGACAATGGCTCAAAGTTTTGGGATTTTATTATTTTTCCGATTTTTGTAGGTAATCTAAATGTGTTATTACAAAAACAACAAACTATAAATTATAGTTATTTTATTTTTAATTGTGGAATTTGTTATTTATGAAAAATGATATAAAATAATATATATGTTGTTTAATAATGTTTGTAATAATAATAATTTTTTAACAATATAATATATGACAAATTTTATATAATAAACAACAAATTTACATCTAATAGTTCTAATGTTATGAAATTTTAATTATAATAAATTAATAAAATAATTATAAATAATTATTGATATTAATAATTAATAACAATTGTTTATGTTGAATTTTTCCTTTTAACCATTTTAAAAAAGAAGAGAAGAAGTTTGCAGATCGAAGCATTGAAGCAACGAATTAAAAACTGATTATTACAAAACAATGGACGACTACACGTTGGTGAAGAACGGAACCATTATCACTGATACAGCGACGTACAAAGCTGATATCCTCATCAAAGACGGCAAGATTGAATGTATTGGTGTTTCTATACCCGAGACTCACTGTAAGAAAGTCATAGATGCGACTGGTCTCTATGTCCTTCCTGGTGCAATAGATGGCCACACCCATTTAGCCATGCCGTTTGGTGGCACAATAAGTGCAGATGATTACGAAGCTGGGACACGCGCAGCTGCTTGTGGTGGAACAACAACCGTTTTTGACTTTGCCATTCAAAACACTGGGGAGTTACTTGGTGACACTCTTAAGAGACGAGATGCGCTTGCAAGTGTACAGGCATGTGTCGACTATGCGTTCCATATTGCTATCAAAGATATAAGCACCAAACCGTTACTCGATTCCGTGGAAACTGCTGTCGAGTCTGGAGTGACTTCCTTCAAGATATTCATGGTGTACGACTTCTTTGTGAATGATGGACAGTTCTACACCATCTTAAAGAAAACCAAAGAGTGTGGCGCATTGCTTGGGGTCCACGCCGAAAACAGAGAAATCATTAACACGCTGATTGCTGAATTTAAAGAAGAGAATCACATGACACCGTACTACCATTACCTTTCTCGTCCCGAGTTTGTCGAAGAAGAAGCCGACCAACGTGCCATAGCCATTGCAAAGAGCACAAAAGCGCCACTTTATATTGTCCACTTGGCCAACAAAGGCGGCGTCAAAGCACTCGAAGAAGCGCGCAAAGAGGGGTACCCGATCTTTGCGGAGACTTGCATTCAGTATCTTGAGATGACAAGCGATGTCTACAAGAGAGACGACGCCATCAAGTATGTTTGTTCCCCACCGATGAAAGGGAAAGAGAGTCAAGCGGCTCTTTGGGACGCGTTAAAGCGGGGAGTCATCTCCACTGTCGCGACTGATCACTGTCCGTTCCAGTTGAGTGAGAAGCATTGGGGTGATAAGGACTTCACGAAGATCCCAAACGGATGTGCTGGTGTTGAGAATATGTTCCCGTACATGTTGTCCAAAGCCAATGAAGGTGTTCTGCCGTTCACTAAAGTCGTTGAAGTGTGTTGTGTCAATCCAGCAAAGTTGTTTGGACTTTACCCACAAAAGGGGGCGTTGTGTGTCGGGTCTGACGCCGATTTTGTTTTGTATGACCCCCACAAAGCGTTTGAAGTCAGTGTGAAGAATATGCATTCCAACGTCGATCACACGATTTGGGAAGGGTTAAAGCTTAAGGGATATCCAAAAGAAGTCTACTCGAGAGGAAATCTTGTGTTCAAAGAAGGAGAGTTCGTGGGGAAGAAGGGAGACGGAAAGAGACTGATTTGTAAGAAAATCAAGTTCACTGGTCCATCACTCGAATAAACAATCTTTTCTTGTCATTGTGTCTATGATACTATAAATATTCTATTTTCAAACTAATAAAGAAATAGTTCAGAGCAATGAAGGAATGAAACTATTAATGAAGGATGGTCTTGCAAAAAATAAGAAAAGAGAGAAACTGAAATTGTTATAAAAAACAAAAATGAACCAGGGACTTAGTCAGCTCACGGGCGTCACTATTGTCAACTACGGCACGATTAATATGTGCATGCCCCCAACTCTACAGGTACCATACACAATCAACAAACCACTTCCAAAACCAAAACCAATCGAAGACGCTCCCGAGGGCGGTGTGAAGAGAAAGAAACCCATCTCGAAGAAAGATCACGCACAACATGTTGTGGAGACAAAAGACATTATCGAAAAGAACAAAGAAACTTTACAGAAGTGGACTGGGAAAAGCGAGTTCTCTCTCATTTACGACTCCGATGTCGACGGGTTAAACGCATATGGGATCAATCGGTGCGTCTGTGAAAAACGAAATGTGATGATCATCGTCATCACGTATAACAAGTACGTCTTTGGTTCGTTCACATCGCTTCCAATACCAACATCGCAAAAACAAGACGAGTGGGTCAAAGACGACAAAAAGCATTTCGCCTTCACTTTGGTCAACCCGTCAAAGACAGAGCCAATGAAGTTTGACCACGTCCCCACAGTGAAGGACAGTCTTGTCATCAGCCCAAGTAACTCCAAAAAGTGGGTTGTTGCTGTCCTTGCCTTTTTTGGTATCAAACAGGACGACTCTTCATACATCGCCGCCGAATTCACGGACACATACCAAGTCCCCACAGGGATCACCTCGGACTTGTTTGTCGGCTCGCACCATCCCGACACATTCCCAGTCACGAAGGTTGTTGCTCTTAAATGGAGCAACAAGAAAGCGAAATAAAAATATATCCATTTTGTTAAATTTACCACATGTGATCTTTGGTTTACCCATACACATAATCCCAAGTATTACTACACATAATATTTTCATAAACAGATATTGGGGTGGCAGTTTTTGATCCCTGCAAGAGACCAACTTGTTCATGAACGAAACCAATAGTACTGAAAGGTTGCTTAGAACTGATTACGGGAGATGAATTCCAACAAGACGTCTTTGTGAATTGGTTGAAGCAGAGGCTCTAATGCGTCTGCGACTTCATAGTACTGTTCGATCACTGAAATTGCATGGGAATAGAAGTAGTCGAGAGAATCGAAGATGAAACCGTACTGCTCGTCCTTTTGGACCATCAGCGGTCGTTCGTTTCGCATGGACAAGATCATTTGGGGAATTAGGGTTTCCCACGAGCTGAATGGGACCGGCTCTTCATTTTGAAGAGCAGCATCGACGACCTTGTCGATCGCCTTATCGATGTCAGCCACGATTTTTGGAGTATCCTTCCGAGCTGAACATCAGGTTTTTGTGTTTCTTTGATGGTATCTAGGTAGCAGGAAACATTTTAAAAAACTATTTATAGGAGAACTATATTTATTACTATAGATAATTATATTATAGTAAATATGATAAAGGACGTGTAATTATCAAAGCAGTACACACAATAACAACAAACGGTGTGCTTGGTAAAAAGTAGTTTTTTCAAGAATAGAGTGGACGACTTGGTCAATGATTCTGGACAGAATGCAATACACGCCAGTTCTTCCGACTCCCGCAGAACAATGGACCACTATTGTGTTTCTCTTGGCAAAGGTATCTGTCGCTCCTATTAGAACTTGTGCGTAGATCAAATCAACTAAGTTCTCTGGATGTTTAGGCACCCCCATATCAGGCCACCCCAGGTAATGTATTTGGACAAAAGAATATGCCTTATTGCCCTCAAGAATTTGAAGATGGCGGATTTGTAAATCGTGTTGATACTCGGACTCTTTGACGTCCGGGTATAAAGTGTCTAACGTCGTCACAGTGTATTTCCCAAAGACAGCTTGACCGTTTTGGTAGGCATATCCCCAATAAGGAGTGGCTTTAACCCCAAACCCTTCTTGGCATCGAGTTAGCATGACTACCATTGCGGGTTCTTCTTGCACTATCATCTCTAAAAAATCTTCTACAGTCGTTGGGATTGGTGCCTGACACGCGATGAGTCTGCCATTCATCAAGTAGTCTGCGTTTATATATCTCTCATCTTCTCCTAACTTGACACGTGTACTGTTTAAAGCCAAAACGTCAGTGTATCTATTCTTACTAACATTTTGTGGGCTAGTTGCACAAGACACCATTGATGGTGTGTATATTGGCGAATTCTTCTTTATTTCTGCAAAATCCATATCAAAATAGAGTTCCTAATCTTTTTGGAAGTTCAAATAATGTTGTTTTCCCTTTTTGTTTTACACTTTTTCTTTGGATTGTGGTAATGATAGTGTAGTGCTTATTCTTTGGCTTGCTTTGGTCAATGTCCGTCTTATTTTGCACAGTTCAATGGCAAAAACGAATAATGGTTCTTATAAAGATATGTTAAACTATTTTTTTCCTTTTGTGGGAATTATTGATGCCCGATTTTTGATACCAAAAAGCATCAAATTCAGTGATTGTTTGTGCTAAGTTTAACGTAAAAAGTTTTGAAAAAATGTTGTTTTGTTTGATTGATTTTTAATTGAGCAAAATATCTTGGCAAATACTTAATACAATAACTTAATCGTTTTCGTTTAAAACATTTTATTATTCTTGTATTACAATCATTATTTTTATTACTATTATAAATGATATTATATACTATTCAAATTTACTTTAAAATGAGCGTGTTACATAATATAATACAAAAAACTATATTATTAACATTTGTTTTATTATTTATTAAAAGTTCAACGAATTTCGATCAGGCAATTGTTTCTTTAAAAAAACACAAATAGTTAATTTATAACATTTTAATAATACAATTTAACATCAAATTTATAATACTATATAATACTATATAATAAATTATTATATAACAAATATAAAAAGAAAAACATTTAAATACAACAATTCAAAAAAGTGTTATTAAATTTCTGGTGCAGGGACTTTATCTCCGGTGATCCACTCCGAAGTGACGCTTTCTTTATTAATAACAACTGTATGGATATTTCCTCCAGAAGACCCGTCACGTGCAATTGCGAGAGAGATTGCAGTGATGACAAATTGTTTCGCTTGTTGGAGGGTCATATTTTTCCTGAAATTTGCGTCACAAAATCCGTAGATGTATGTAGAGCCACTCCCTCCAAGGCACATCTCACCGGGTACAATAGCACCACTTTGCAACACACGATATATTGACCCTCCTTTAATATCGTCATACCCACCTATAATACCTGAGCACGATAAAAAGGACTTGTTAGAATACACCAAATTTTTGTAACTAGTAGCAGCAGCTTGGACGCACGGCTCTTCACCAGTCTGAGATGTGTACATTCGAAGAGAGTGACGAGTATAATCGACTATTGTCTCACTGTGAGCCGCATCCCCAGCAGTGCAGCACCCGATCTTGTCAGAAAGCATTCGGACTTTGTTGGTGCATCGGTTTGAGACTAAACTTCCCGATGAAGTTCGACTATCCGCACCTAATATAACACCGCCGTCATAGATCACTCCGATGATCGTCGTTCCCAATGAGACTGGTTGATATGCGTTCACTTTTACTGACATCTGTTTCTTCAAGTTCTCAGTTCTCTTTTTTGTGAGCTTTTTGAAGTTTTTATTTCTTTGAAGTTTTTTACTAGTATTTTTATTACTTAATAATCGGGAAAGTATCCCTTATATACTCCTAATTAATGTTTTTTTATTCTTTAGTTGTATTTTCTTCTTTAATAAATATATAGTTTTTTGTTAGTTAGTTATTAATGCATGGTATATATACTTTGAATTGTTTAAATACAGTAAACTATTAATTATAATATATTAACTATATTTTATTGATATAATAAAAATAGAATGGACAATATAATTAGAATTAGTAGACAGAGTAAAAGCAGTCTCCATAAGACGCCATTACCATTGATATATTCTGTGACTTCTCTTTTTTCTTGGAATACTTTTCTTTGAGATCATTGTTTTCAAAAACAACTTCGTCGTCAGTTTCAATCAAATCCAAAGCTGGAGTTAAATCGACTTGTAATGTAGGAATTTGAAATGTTTTTTTTACAACTTTTGGAGCTGTCTCAAAGTCTGGGTATTTTATTCGAAGCGAGATAGAAGAAGTTACCACCGACTCTAATCTTCGAGGAGAAGACTCTGAAGATAAACATCTTAAAAGAACTTTCTCCATCTTTTCTTTCAGAGAGACTTTTTTCATATCCTTCTTAATCTTTTCGTGTTTTTTAAGTGGGGACAATTCCGGACTTCCAATAGTTGGAGATAGTGGCGATGAAATCACACGTTTGGAATGTTCAAAAGTGTATTTCTCTTGTTCAAGAGGTGTTCTGAGAGAAGTTCTTTCTCTTGGATTGAATTCGTTTATATTAGGTATAAACTCTGCTTCTAGCATTTCTACTTGTTCAGTATGCACTTCAATATCTTTAGTTTCTTCTGTTGGTTTAAGAAGAGCAGCACCACTTTCGCTCATTTTTAATTCAGTGTTTAAAAGAATTTCAGTCCGCTTGTTCCAATTGGGGAGGGGGTGCGCACGCTTTGACTTTATTGTAAATGAGTTTCCTCTTGAAGATGGTTTACTTTGACCAACAAATTCATTAAGTTGCTCATTTTGGTAACAACTGACAAATTCATTATTCATCACTGTTTTGTCAACTATACACTTAACCTTATCATTACAATAAGATATTTGTTTGTCGATCAGCAGTTCCTCTATTTCTTCTGAAGAGATTTCTTTACTGTTGTCTACATCTTCTTCAGTGGATTCAAGAACAACTTTAGTTATATCCTTTGTTTTCTGTGCAATTTCATTGAGGTACTCTTTTTGTGTTTTTCTTTCACTACATTCTTTTGTAAATGTTTTAATTGGTTCTGGTTCAAGCCGGGACTTATTCACTATTCTTTTTTCGTTGAGAAATTTTCGAGGAGATGGAGTTCGTGGTTTTTCAACAACAATTGCTGGTGGTTGATAACCATAGTCTTGATTTAATGAGGACCTTTTTAATTCCAATATTGATTTATTAATGGAAGTACAAATCTGTGGTTTCTTATTAAATGATGCATTTGTAGAAAAGGTTGATGTTCTTTCTTCGCGTTTGACTGGGTTGTACTCCAAGTCTATAAAGTCCATTTCAACAATGTTTGAGATGACTATTGGCTTTGTGTATAACGATTCCACTAGAGATTCTTCAAATGAATTCTTTTCGAATATACGCATACGTACACTACCCATTGACATATTTCTCTCTCTTGGGATAAAACAACGATGAGACCCAATATTGAAAGATGGTTTACTACTCAGTTGCATTGTTGAAAAGAGTTCATTTCATTTCTTTATGAATCAACTATTTTTGTAAAGACTAACTGCTCTTTAATCATTACGTTTTTAAAAGTTAATAATACTAATTATAAAACTCTATAAAAACATTATATAATACGACCACTTCTATAGCATTATTTTATTATACCCTTTGGGTTAAAAACAACCAAATTTCCCATGAAATCATGAAGAATGAATTGAACAATATTTGTCTTTAAGTTAATAACTCAAATTTTTCGTATTTGAACTTTGAAAGAAGGGGGTGTAAAAAAATAGATCAAGAGGTCAACAGTATTGACCAAAAATGCATTTTAACCCGTTTGTGTTGTTGAGTTCATTCTAATATACAAATATAACACAATTTTTATATAACAAGCTCAACAAATGCTTTGGAGATATGAAATAACACAAAAACAATTATTATTGAACGGCAACTCCTCTAGATGATAAAAACCCGAGGATTTGTGGTGACACTGACGTCCCCAAGAGCACAACAGTGATGAGTTTTGTACATTTTTGGATGAGTGTTTTAATTCCCGAGTCGGTGACTAAGGAGCACATTCTCAGTTCGAGTGTAGTAAGTAAAGGACAGTTGTTTGAGATGTTTTCCAGAAGTGCGTCTGAGCATTGCGAGAAATTAAGTCTCATCACGTTCATCCATTGTGCCTCCTGTAAGAACAAATCGGATTGTTTGTATGTGACACCTTGCATGCTGAAGTATGTGATTCTTGGCAATGAATTTACAACTGGTTTGATGGTTTCTGGTGTGAATTTTGTGAATGATATATCGAGGTATTGCAACGATCGCATTGACGACAAAACAACGGCGCTCTCCGGTGTAATGTTCTCGCACTCGCTGATATTAAAATGGGAAATATTTAAGCACGAGTCTCTTACAGCTAATATCACTCGATTTGTCACCGCAGACGTTCCGTTTAAGAATAACACCCGAAGTCGTGGTGACCTGTAAATGAATTGTATCAGCGCAGTCTCCGTTAAGCCACTGTTATTCTGACAATAGAAATGTGTCAACGAATGGGCGCAATCGCCTAAGACACTCATGGCAAGTTCGTTCAGAGTTGGACAGCAGTTTACATTCAGTGATATCAAATCGCACCCCCTGACGCTGAACAAGTTGACAAAACATTGTGTTGATATATTACAGTGGCTGAATGAAATAGTGAGTGGCGATATTTTAGCACCACTTCGAGCCACAGACCGTCGTGTGACATCTGCCGCCACAGTCGATGATTGTAAGAACATTTGCATTGAAGTCTCGTCCATGGTGACTGCGTCGAGTATCAAAGTCTTCAGTTTGGGCGTGTTTTGAAGAAGTGTAGATAAAAATGCTGGTGTTATTCTGGTACACCCACACAAGTTGAGATACCTCAAGTCGACTAACCAAGAAAATAGAGTAGACGCATATAACTGATTGTATGCCCGCATAAGGTCATCGGCAGATACACTGAAACAATTGGAAAGATTCAAACTTATTAATTTGAATCTCGAGTGGAAGAGTTGCGACAACGTGAAGACCCCGGCGTTCACGCAATTTGTCAAATTAAGAAAATTGAGATTTGGTGTTCGTTGCAAGAACACTTGAATTGCCTTGTCTGTGATTTTAGGACCAGAGATTGCAAGCGATCGAAGTTGTGGATTACTTCTCGAGAGAAAGTCGAGGCATTGATCTGTCAAGTATTTACAATTGAGGAGTTCCAATTCGAAAAGTCCGTTTAAGAACTTCAGACCAACAAATGTCAAAGCAGTATTGTTAGCCTTGAAGATTCGGAGTGTTTGAATGTTAGCGATACATTGCAAGGAGTAATCTGTTATTCTCGGACAACTACTAATATTAATAGTTTCGAGTGGCGGTCTTAATTGTAAGACGGAGGCAAGGCAGTAATCGTCAAACGCCAGACATCCCGATGTGTTGAGGTATTTCAAATTCTTCAGATTTTTGCACAGCAAAGACAAGTCGTCGGACGTACAACCCCTTGCCTGACTAATATCGAGTGTGGTTATATTGAGTGTCATCGACAATTGAAAAATGTTTAAACACGTTGGTCTTGTTAATAAATGTGTGCCATGAATGTCTAAAGCGGTTTGTCCCGTACCAGCAGCCAAAAGTCTATACATAATAATATTCAAATCCATGTCAGACGCTGTTGGGTTGTTCGCAACGACTTGTAAAAGTCGTGAAGCCAATAAAGGAGGAAGTGGGTGTGGGAGTTGTGAAGCCGAGAGTGCAGTGAAGTTCTCCTCAAAGCGGCCAAACGCGTCCAAAATGATTTCTGTCAATGAAGGAATGATTACTCCTTCTTTGGCCAAAAGTGCAAAAGGATGCGATGGGATGTTAAGTGAAACAGCCTTTCGCCTGCGTTGTGGAGCAAGCAACGTCTTCATTGTCTTATGTTCTTAGTGTTTTGAAAAGTTTAGTCGACGTGATTTTTCGGTGTTTAGATAATAGAATGTTCGGTGGATGGATACGTGGGTTTCCCATTCTTCTTGGTAAAAGGCCTCTATTATTCTCGGGTTTTGGTATGAAGAGTATTTTCAATGATCGTATTTTTGCACCTTTGATTTTTTTTTGCTTTTTCCATTACAAAACTCCCGTTTTTATTCAAGAAAGCAGTGAAAAAAGTCGTAACTTTTTGGGAATAGAAGTTTTTGTGATGTCGGACTTTTCCCGAAGGTTTGGTTTTTGAAGCTACAATTTAGGCACTTGGGTTTGATTTTCGTAAAAATACAAACTTGTATTATTGTTTTATTATAATTTTATTATTTTATTTAATACAACATATAATATGTTATTGTAATGTACCTAAAAAATTATATAAAAAATACCTCAAAAATTGGGATCATGTTAAAACAAATTACTTTTTTTTAATTTATTTTATCTTCAATGGTATAACAGCGAATATTATGCTGAAAAAAATGAAGCAACCCATATTTTGTTTTACTATTACAACACTCAAATGATATACAACTTATCAGGTTATAATCGTTCTATTTTTTACAATAATAATTTCTGGGTCAAATAAAAAAACCGTACTATTTTGGCAAATTGGTAAAAACAATAATAATTACTTTTAAGGTTCATTATTATTTATATGTGCAATTATACTATAATTAGGTTTAAAGTAATAAAATTTAAACCCGTTATATTAATTACTATCAGTTGACATGAAATAGTAAAATTTTTATACTATTTTATATAATTAATAACAATAATAAAATATAGTATATTATATACTTTATTATTCAAAAAGCCATCAATTATTTATTACAAATGTATCTATTCTAATTTTATATCTCGAATTGTAATAAAAATTATGTAACCAATATCATGGTAATTTTGAAAATTTTGAAATTAACTTGAATAAATATGATTATTGATTAATAATATGATTAAAGTAAAAGGATGTCCTTTTGATTTATTTTTTTAATTTAATTCCAAAAACTTTAGAATGAGTTATAAATTTACCATAAACTTCTATTTAAACAATCATCATTTTCAACAATAGTATAAAACGCTATACAACAAGTACTTTTGTTATATTTTAATGGTTTGAATCAATTAATTCAATTATTTTTCGTTGGCCATTTTGAGTTATTTTCACATGGCATTTCCAACTTATTGGACCTGGTAATCTTGATATTTGAGTATAGCTGGAGTATCCAAAAAACGAATAATTAAAAAACAACCTGATTTAACAATTGAAAATAAATTAATTTTATATTTCACTTTTTATCAAAAAACGTTCATATTTTTTTGATACTTACAAGAATATTACAACAATACATACAAACAAAGATGTAAATACACACACTACATCACTTTGATTTTTCATTTTTGTCAATTTGATTTTTCGTTCAACAATTATACAAACAACAATTTAAACATAAACATGAAAAGAGTGACTTAGCATGTCTTTCCACAACAACACCCACTTGATGCCTCTTTCTGGCATTGGCACACCTTCTTCTCCCCACACTTGCACTCACATGTGCACTTGCAACCCTCACAGCAACACTCACAGGTGATGGTCATCCCAGTTGCAAATGTCTTGCATTGGCACTTCCCCTCTTTGCAGCAACAGCAGCACTCACACTTCCCTTCAGCACCACATTTGCATTTGAAGTCACAGCAGCACTTCCCATCTTGGCAGCAGCACCCACAAATGATCGCTTCACTGCCTTCACATTTGCACTTCTTCTCACACCCACAACTCATTGTCGTTTTGCAATTCAGAGCGTCTTATATACCCGTCGCTGGCTTTCAAAATCAAACTGGCCAATCATTTGAACTTTTGTGGTCCATCCACGTGGATGGGTCAATTTATTTTCGTTCTGATTGGTCAAATTGTTATTTATTAAAGTATAGTTATTTGGTAAGTAATATTGTTATAATACAATATACTATAATTTAATAGTTATTATTTTAATAATATAATAGTAATAATACAACTAAACATCAAATCAAAGTAAAAATGTGTAAAAAAAATATTTTTTTATTATAGTCACCCGCTAAAAGGTGTAAATTTACGACAAATGGTCTAAAGAAACCATTTTATAGTTTTTAGAAATTATGATTTTAGATTATGTTTCAATTTGTCATTTTTTTCTTTATATTGCAAGTATTTCAAAATTAACTATAAATTTACTTTATTCTAAAACATTGTCAAAATAGATTAAAGGTGAACTGAAAATCAATTATTAATGGAAAAATGCAGTACAAATACACTTACCTGGACAATACCAGAAAACAAAAAGACCAAACCTGCACCTGCGATGGCTTTCGACGATTCGGCAAATTCTTTGGATGTATCAGATTCATTGTGTTATTTGTTTGTGCTGTTTCTGTTAAAACAAAAAGAATTTTGCTACAGTCAATATAAACGGTTACAAATTTATATTGCTTATAAAAATATTAAGGTGTTCAATAAAAATATGGAAAGTTTGGAATCCGCAAAAGTGTTTATAAGTGTTATCAACCCATACTACAATATCAATGTTTTGGATGGTTTTCTGAGACTGAAAATAATTCAAAAAGATCTGGCAAAAATTTTCAAAGTGAATGAGCCAAGAATTTCCGCTGTTATTAAACAAGAAGAAGAAGCGTGTTATACATGTAATGAATCTAAAAGTAAATATAACATTTCTTTTAAACAATCTGATATACTTTGTTCTAAAATATCCAGAAGATTACTAAAAAACAAAGCAGTAACAACAGATTATGTTTGGAGTCTTTTTGTTGATGAATGCAACTTGAATACCACAAAAGAATCTTCAATTCGTTGGGCAGAAAGACATGGGTTAAAACTTGTAACGTGCAAACAACTTGCAGAAAAACGATTCGATGTAAATCCCATTGATGTGTTAAATTACTTTTTGACTCTCCAAAATAGTGTAGATAATTGTTTTTCTGGTCTTGTTGTTAACATGGATGAAATGGGTTACAGTCCAAGAGCAGATTCTAAGGATGGACACTGTTTTGTTCCAATGAATTATGAAATGAAATTTGTGTATTGTCGACAAGAGAGGGATGAACGACATTGCACTTTAATTGCCGCAGTTGCTGCTGATGGTTCAACTCTGAAACCAACTGTTATTTTGCCCGTTTGTTCCATTCCAAATGAATATAGGTGTAATGGACTAACGGAAAATAATGTTTTATTCCGATACAGTGTGTCTGGATTCATTACGCGTGAAATTTGTGAAGACTGGATTAGAACTGTTCTGCTTGATTATATTAATAGAAAACGTGTTGAAATTAAAAATGAAATGAATGCGCTTGGAATTGAAATAAAAATGTCCGATCTTAGAGCTTGTCTAGTGTGGGATAATGCAAAAAGCCACAGTTCCTCGATTATTGAATTGTTACTCGCTGAAAATAACATAACTCTTGTTAGATTAACTCCACATGCTTCTCATTTCCTTCAAGTTCTTGATTTGGGGATATTTGGTAGGCTTAAAAGAAGAATGTCTTCTTTAAAAGCGAACGACAGTTTTGTAAATTTGCTTTTTCAAGAAGAAGTCGAAAAGGAAGATGTGGATGGTAATTTATTTTGGGAAGATAAAAAACCAGATTTTTACAATATTGAACTCGGAAACAGACTAAGAGAGTTGATGATATTGGTGGATTCTTTCTTTGCGGTTACAACACCTCCTTTTAATATTATTGCTTTTAAACAAGCAGGAATAGTCAACTGGATTGACAAAACGCTTCCAAAGTGTCGTGTATCCATCGAACATTGTAAATTTATAAAAACGCCCCAATACAGAGAATTGTTCAAACAGTTTATTCCAAAACCAATTCCGTTGCTTCAAAAGAAAAGAAAGACAGTATTACTCCCTTTCCAAATTGAAGTTAAAAGAAAAGAAAGGGAAGTAAAAAAAGCATTAAAAACCCAAAATAAGATAAGGAAAAAAGAAACCACAATTTTAAGATTGCCGTTGTCTTCTAAACCATTCAAAAAACTTGACAAAAAATGATTAATTTTTTCTTATTTTTTTGACTTTTTCATGTTATTTATGTTATTCTTAATGTTTTTTATAATTATAGTATAAAATAATAAATTATAGTTTCTTTACACCATTTGTCGTGTTTTCATTGCTTTTAGCGGGTGACTATATAAGTAAAAATAAAAATAAAAAAAATTATAATTAATATACCTATTCCAAAACCAAATAACCACTAACACAACCAATAACATAAATAAAGTTTAGACCATTTGATCGATGATTTTTAAACATCTAAAAGTGAATAAATACAATTGATTAGAAAAAAAATTATGAACAAAATAACATGAAAATGTTGCTAACAAACTAAGAGGATAGTTTAAAAGTCTTTTCGAAAATCAATGACTAAATAAATTGCGGTGTGAAACAACATCACTTTCTTTAGTTGACGCTCACGATGCATCTGGTTTATTTGGTTTTCATTGTTTTATATTTTTAGTTGTAGTTGTTTGATTCATAGTTGTATTCGTTTAATGCGTGTTCGCAAACATGTTTTTGAACATATCAAATTTGTTTTTTTGTATATTTCGAGTACCAAATAATCTTTTTTTTATTTTTTGTTGTAAAAAAGCATCACTTCTTTGTTTTAAGCGTGAATCGTTGAATATCGAATTTGTTGTTTTTTATTGTTTTTGAATGTATTTTTTGAGTTGTTAAAAAAGGAAAAAAACAATCATCAAAATTTATAAATAAAATTTACAGAACAAATAAGGTTTCCAAAATGACTTTATATATTACAGTCGATACTCTATCGGATTGGACTTCTATCGGATTGGTATTCTATCGGATTTGGTTTTTTATCCAATCAAAACTTGTTCCAATCCGATTTTATAAATAAAACCCGTATAATTAGTATAAAATTTTCTTTTTATTTTCCAATCCTTGGGAAAAACCATTTTCCCATTATTCCAATCCGATAGAGTATCGACTGTATTTGGTTCATTTTTTGTTCAATTATGAACGAAAAAATATTATATATAATTATATTTAAATAATTAAATTAAAAATTTTTAAAATTTTTTTAAAAAAGTTGATATGTAAATACATAACTAATTTAAATTCAATGTGTATTGATATGAAGAATCAATAATTTAATTTTAATCTTTATCTGTGTAAAAGACTTATTTTTTATTACCAACTAATTGATTATGATTATATTTTTTCCATTTTGTAATTTGAGTAAAAACATAAGTTTGCAAAATATAACAAATTTTGTAATATTAGAAATAATTACAATAATTTTAAACTATTAATAGTATTGTTGTTGCTTATGTATAAAACAATTATCAAACAGGAAAAAAATATCACCGTTTTAACGGAGAAATATTTATCTTTTTTAAAGATTTGTGAATAAATAGGAAAAAAACACCTTTTTGACTTTACATAAAGATAAATTGAATATATTTTTTATTATAAAATTTATAAAAAATAATAAATTTAAAAAAAATATAAGGAGATAAAAAATAACAAAATTTGAATTTTGACAACAATAAACTTATAAATACAGAATTGAAAAATACAGAATTGAAAATTGGTTATACATCAAATGTTTGACAATTGTATAAAATTGAAATAAAGAAAATTAAACAGAAAAAACAATATATAAGGTCGAAAAAAGTATAAACAAAATTAATAATAAACAAAAAGTAAATGGAAACGAAGAAAATGAAAAGAGAAAATAAAAAAATGTACAAAGAGGTAGTTAAGTAGAAATTGTACAAGAGGTGGTTATATAATAATTTTAAATATATTTTTTAAATATATATATTTTAATTGTATTGTTTATTTAATATTTTTATTTTTTATTTATTTTGTATTTATTGCATATTAATATATTATTTTTTTCTTTGTTTATTTATGTTGATCTTTGACATTTTTAAATTTAAGTTATCTTAAGACTTTTTACGTTGATTCAATTATTATTTCAAAATCTTTATCTTTTTTTTAAATATTAATTCAAATTATGCTTTATTAAATTAATTTATTTCAGAATTTACACAATGTTTAATTGATTATATTATTATTATAAACCTTAACAGATTCTGTTATCAATTTTTATAACAAAGTTATCTACGCAATTAAAAGTTCAAAATAAAACAAATATACAAGAGTGTTGATACAATAGTAATTCTCAAATTAAATTTTTACTTAAATAATTGTTGTTTATTACATTGAATTTATTGATTGTTAATAATAACTTTTGTGTAATGTCTATGATATTTATTTAAACAAAAATAGACTATTATAATCAATTTCATTGTGTAACTATGTCGATTTACACAATCTTTATACAACAACTTTTGTTGATAATTACGTGTTAGAGAGTTGTTATATTCGATTATTCTTTCTTAATTATATTTTTATTATTATTGATACAAAAACACACAATTAAACATGTATATTTTAGTAACACCACAACATTTATTATTATATATAATAGAAACATGTATTGATTATTAATTTCAATAATTAAATAACAACAGATTGTGTTTTAGGTTTCATTATTAATCACAACATTTTCAATTTTATAAAATGTCAAAAATAAAACGTGATAAATTTTTAGTGTGTAAACATGTAACATCAAAACTGAACTCGAAATCGTTACACCGAAATCAAAAGAATAGCACAGTTTAAACTTTTTTGCTTTTAACTTGATGTTCTCTCACATATACACATAAAATATAAAAATAAATATTTTATCATTAAGGAGTAAAAGCAGATGATAAAATAATATAAAATATATCTTAGTTCTTTGTTGTTGTACATTATATTAGTCGTTCAACAAAAATGAATACACTTATAAATTCGTTTCAAAAATAATTATATATATATTTATATATAATAACAGTTATTCCTTTGAATCATACAAAAAAGTGAATTAAAACATATTTTTTGGATTTAAAAAAAAACAATGTTCATGTTATTCAAGTAATACACAAACATTTAATAACAATTCAATTGCTTTCAAATTGAATATTAATAATGTAGAAAAATTATTTTCAATTAAATTTATTAAATATATTTAATCGTAACAAAGGTACAAATCCAATTGTTATGAAAAATAAGGAATTGTTGTGAAACTAACTATAGTTTGAAGTTATATGTTTACACACTCAAAAGGTTTTCTTGTTTTTATCCGTTATTATAATAAATATGTAGAGTATATAAATGAATCATTTTATATTAATTATTATAATAAAATCATTAAAAAGAAATTGTATAATCATGTTATTATTTCACTATTCAATAACAATCGTGACGTCATTTTTATAATTGTGTTGTTTATGTGTGTGGTAGACATAATAAATTAAAAAAATAATATATATTAAATAACATTATTTAAATGTATTATCGACAGTGATTTATTTGAAAATAATAGTTTTTATGTAGTTACACAATGATAATGGTCACACCTGTTTTAAATACAAAAGATATATTCAAATATTAAAAATATGTCATAAATAATTATTTTCTTTAATGAACGTTCACATCAAAAATTACATTTGAACATAGTTGTTAATTGTTTATTTATCATTCGATGACTTGTCACATTGGTAACTATGTGTGATTATCAAAAAACTACTTTTTTTATATGGTAATTAATTGTTTAAATATGAATATTTTAAAAGAAATACATTTATTTTTTTGTTTACCAAATAATTTTTTTTGTAATCACTTTTTTTAACATTAAAAATAATTAATTAATTCTTTTTTTTTAATTTATAATTATTTGACACGCATTTCAAACCTTTTGTTACCAGTTCTTAATTATTTTAAGTTTGTTTTTGACTTCAAATAAATATTGTCAGCCCAAGCATTTTGATGAATCTTCAAAATCACCTTTATATATGAAGTTTCAAAATATAATAAAAAATTATTAAACATATCATTTAATAATGTAATATACTTAATAATTAATATAATAATTATTTATAACTTTCAATTTTTTCAAAAAAAAATATTTTTTTAATCTTTATTCTTTTAAAAAAATTCGCCTTTTTTTGTGTAAGATATACTTCTGTTCACTTCTATGGAAAAGTTACCAAACTTTTAGTTCTACTTTTTAAAAAGAACTTGAATATTTTTATAACTTGTCAAAATGTTATATATAACACAATTTCCCAATTTTACATTTTTGGGCTTTTACTCCCAACAATTTGAAATAATCAAATTCACATTATTATAATAAAAATATTAATAAAAGTGTTATAATTATCTAATGAAAGAATAAAACCATAATAAATACCAGATTATAGGAAAACTGTTTCAAAATTTCTGTTACTCCTCTTTAATCGAATTGAATAGAAAATTCAGTAAGAAAAAGGAAAAATGAACTCAAAAAGCAGACTATGATTAAATCTCTGTTTATTGTGAGTTGCTCGAACGACGTCATATACTCCAGACACTACGAGAACACATTAGACAAAGGCGTGTTAGTTCCGTTTTATGACAAATGTTTGTTTCATTTTTAACACTTTATTAGTCCTCTTACATACTCACTAGAAGTGACAACAACAACATCTTACAAAGAAATAGCTCCAGTGATCAATTGTAACACATATTGTCTTTTCCACATCTGCCATGAAGTTTGTTTACTTCTCTATTAAAAGAATTTGACATGAAAAGAAGTCACACACTCATTTAATAGCTTCCAACAAACTCGGTCTATTTCATCGCAGTCACTGACACCGAAGTCCAACCCCTCTTTGTCTCCACAATATTGCAGAGAATAAAAATGGTCTTGAAGTATATGTACCCTGATGGTATCTATGACTACAATATCCTCAAAGAGGACTACATCCGATTTACAGAGATCATCGACAACATGATGGACGGTGGGTTTCCGTTCATTATGGAACCGAATACAATGGACTCGTTAATGAACCAAACGACTACTTCACAGAAGATCGAGAAAGTAGTTCTTGGAGATTTATTAGTGAACTACGACAAAGACGCATTGGGCTCTCGAACGTTGCCGTGGAGAAAGGACGGTGTCGTCCATAAGAACAACGAAATTCTCTTTGATGTGAATGAACGCGTTAACACCGTCTTTAATCTTGTGACTGGGAAGTCGACACGGACTGAAGTGATAGGGGAGGTCGTTTGTTTGTCAGCACTTACTGGGATGCCAGACATCACTCTCAAATTTGAAAACCCCCAAATCATGGATGACGTCTCGTTCCATCCTTGTGTTCGAATAGGACGATGGGAACAACAAAAAGTCCTCTCCTTTGTCCCCCCAGAAGGGAAGTTTTCGCTCTTCAATTACCGGGTCAGAGGCACTCTTCAAGCACCAATCAAGCTTGGAGGATCTGTGAAATATACGGATACCAAAGGAATTATTGAGTTGTCGGTGTACGCTAATAACATCCCAGGCTTTGGAATGGGACAACTGAAAAGCGAGGTGATCAACATGACGATGACTATTGAATTGCCCGTTTCAGTCACTTCATGCGAGTTAGTGGTGAATACAGGGAACTACAAGTTCGATGCCGTTAAACATGTTTGTTGTCTTCTTCTAATCTGTTCTATTGTATTTTTATCGACATCGAAATGAAACTGATATACAGTTGCTTATTTGGAATATTGGAAAACAAAACCCAAAGGTTGTCCCAACAATCAGTGGCACCGTGAACCGTTCGATGTACGAGGATGTCGACACCTTCACTAAAGTCTCCATGGGGTTCCAAATCATCAACTATGCTGTTTCTGGACTCAAATTTAAACACCTTGACTGCAACCAAGCGTACCAAGTCCGTAAGGGTGTCAAATTCACAACTTATCAAGGAAGATATTTGGTGAAGGTCTAACTTGATTCATGATTTTTTATTCGTTCTATTTTGAGAGTAATATAATATTATAACTACATAATAGTAAATTATTCTCTTAATTACTTTATTTAATTATTTAATTAATTTATTAATATATAACACTAAACAACACTGAAGTGCTTTGATTTACTCTGTAAAGACTACAGATACCCCTTCAACAAACTGTTTTTCAAATTCTTCCTTCCTTAGGATGACGGCTAGCTTATGAGAGAAGTACAAAATCCTTGCTTTGAAGATTTCAATCAGCTCTTTCTGGTGGACTTGATGGAGGTAAACATTAAAGAGCAACAAAATATCTTTCACACGGGGTATGGACGTGTTCACTTCTTGAAGAATTTGGGAATCAACACCATCTAACTTCTCCCCAATCTTACGCAACGACTCCACACCAGTCGGACATAAGATCTTCAAAATCTCGTTGCATACCTCACCGCTTAATTCTTGGATGGCAGACTCGACTTTACGCAATGAGTCATCCACACATGTGAAGGGGACTATTTGGTCTCGCAGAATACACAGATTTCTGATAGCAAAAAGTTTGCCATCAAATTGCTTATCTGGACACACCATTTTAGAAGCTCTCAACACGGCGTCCACACACGATATCACGGCCGTCGACGCAACTTCCGAAAATGGTTTTGGGTCGAGTGCAAAATGCAGATTTGAAAGTAGTGTGAGGGTGTTTGCTGTTGGTGGATACAACACAAGTCTGAACGGTAAATCGGAGATACTCGACGTCTTGAAAATATTTGGATAGTCCAAATCGCTTGTTTGTGGCGAGTAATTTGCTATTAAAGTGTTCACCAACAACAAAGACACATGTAACAGTCTTTCCGATATCAAAGAAATCAAAGTTTCAACACACGCCTGGAATGGCGCATATTCCGGTAACGCGACGAGCTTTGAATGTGGTAATCGATACAAAATTTGTTCATCTCGTAAGTAAGTCAATGCAGTACACAACACACCAAGGTCATGGCATGAGTAACAGAGTGTTGATACATATGTTGAATACACTTCGAAAACCTCTCCCAACACAACTTTAAGGGCTTGACTGTCTTGTGAAAACAGCGAACGGAACAGCTTCCCTTCCTTATAGAAGATTGTGAAGAGATAGATCCCGCCTTCTCGAGTGACAACACTTGCATTCGGATTGATTTGTTCGAGTGTTGTCAACAACTTGCTGACATAAGGTAAGAGAAGTGCTTTTCTGATTGCTATATAGTGCTTCACGCATTCGTCCAAATACGACGACTCGAGAATCCCGTTTTTCAATTTCAAAATGTCAATAAGTGTCGAAAAGTTCGCAGACACTTGTGACTCGTATAACGTACTTGTTGTGAATTGACTGAGGGGGAGAACGGGAAGTGTCTTACACGACTGATGCATCACATCAATTTGTTTCTTCACAAAGACGGAGAGGTAGTTGAGTGCTTTGCTCTTGAGTTGTTGGTATCGCAGGAAGTAGTTATAACACACTGAGTCTGTCTTCTGTTGATCAGTACTATTTTATAATGAAAGGCGTATCCAAACCTTCATCTGGAAATAATCGATGCAATCGCTAATTTCCAAGTACACGTTCTTGAACTGCGCAGAGTAGAAATCAATCGACTTTGGGTTTGAGATTGCCCGCGCGAGTTCGTCGAAAGCGTCGTAGTACCTTATCTCCTTATTAATCGCCTCAAGTGTGTTTTGTTGTTCCTTTTTCTTTTTTAATATGACATTGCACTTCCCAAAAAGGTCCGACGACTTCTCGTCGATGCCGGTGACCAACTCGTCGACTTCATTTGTTCGTTGCGATTGCTCGCTCAGACTTTTTTCGATCAAAGAAAGAGTGTCGAGTTGTTGTTGTAATTGTTTGATTCTATAAATTAGTTTGATTGTTCTATTGTTATAGATACAAACACCTCCATCACTTGTCTTTTTCTTTTATAGTTCATTTTTAATTAATTGGAATTTTTTATGTCACTTCTTTAAAAAAAAAATCTTATGTAAATGTACTATCACTTAATAATAGAGTTGACTAAGATTTTCAACATAAAAAAAAATAGAACAAGAAATGTGTTTAGTATTAATCCTCCAGTATATTCTTAGTCTTTTGACCAGTCGAAGTCTTCGACGTCTTGCAAAACGAGTAAATGATGAAGACAACAGCCGCAAGGACTGGTACAGCAACTATTATGTACGTCCATTTGAACGTCGTTTTCTTTCGACTCCATCTTTCTGGTTCTGTGAATGTATCTTTTCCTCTGATATTAATACCTTTACTTATACACTTAGCTTTTGAAGTTTTCAGATTTGCAAGGATCCAATGCCCATTGCATGCAACGGTAGTTTCTGTTGCCTCTTGCACAATACCTTCGGAGATGTACGTATTAAAGTTTTCAATTGTAATACCCTTTTCAGAGTACACAAGATATTGTGGGTTCTTCTTTGTTGCTCTGAGAACTGCACTATTCGGAATAACTAAGAAAACATTCACGTTCTTCAAAGACCCACTGTACAAGTTCACAGCATGTTGATTCAACAACCCTAATTTGATATTCACGTTATTCATATCACACTCCGAATTCACTTTGACTATAGCGTCATTCGCTATATCAAAATCAGTGTTAGAGATATCAAAGCCATACTCTCTCCCATACCCATGGAACGCAGCTTTACTCTTTAAAACGATCTTCAATGAGTCGACGACATCGCCAGTGCTCTCTAAGAAAGACCCTTCCTCTACTGTAATTTCAGTCTTTTCAGTTTGGCATAAAATTTTATCAAAAGAAACTATGCCTTTGATATTACACTTGCCTTTCTCTTGGATACTTATCAAACTGCTGAAGAAGTTCCCGTCAAATGTAATTTCTTTTGCGTTGATTTCGTCCAACTCCACTTGCTCCAACTGAGTCTTAAAGGTGATCTTTTTCGCTTCGACTCGCCCAACCCGACGGGCCTCAAAATTCACAACAACGTCGTCCTCTTCAAACACGTAGCTCACTATTTGTTCGTCGCTTTCCTCACATCCAGCATTCTTAATAGTCTCCGACCCAATGGTATACACGCCATTCTTCTTATATGAACGTTTCATGTCACATGTAATAAAAGAAGGAGGAATGTCTTGCGCATCACTACACCAATATGCTGAGATGTGGTTTTGGTCCAATACCAAATTGGTCCCTTTCAATGTGATTGCATCAACTTGATTGGAATCGGCTAACATCACACACCCATCCCCTTCTCTATTCTTTGCCGTAACATAGACGCCTTCTTCAAAGTACATTTTTCCTTTCCCAAAGTCTTCAATCACTGGGAACACAGAAGACATGATACTGATTTCTTCAACAAAGAAATCAGTCTTCTTCTGCATCAGAAACTTTCCCTTATCAGTGTCGACCTCGTCTTTATCAAAAAACGCTTTGACAACTTCTTTCGACTGTGCGCTGCCAAAGTTCAAGTTTCCAGTCATAGTCACTGTGTTCGCCTTAAAATCGAGGAGAGACACTACAATGACTTCGTCGATCACAAGTTGAGCTTCTTTACTTTCAAATCTGTCAACAATGACATTTGTCATATTTAAAACGACTCCACTCTTCACTACAATTCCATTGTATTGTGCGTTCTCAAGTGAGTACTTCCCAGTCTCAAAGGTTAATGTTTCCGTTTTGATTTCTTTTTTTTGGAGATTCAGTCCTTTTCCTTGCGTCTTAAAAATGACATTGGTGTACTTCAACGCACTCCACTTGTCGTCCCAAATTGGTTCTTCAATGATCATATTTGCTGGTATCAGTGAATCGCCGACATTCCTTTCTGCCATAGGACACGACTTCATATTGAATCCCTTGAACTTATAAACACATGTGATAGGGTGGCAGATGACTTCGTTGTTACTATTAGTGACAAAAAAGACCTCATACCCTTGGCACTTTCTTTTAATAGTTCCTTTGATGACGTTGTTTTTAGTGTCAACGACTTTAAGAGTCTTAATCATATCTTCTGGTATAACAGAAGCCGAGTGGATCAACGAAAGTGTTTGCAAGTAGTCTGACTTCATGTCGACAATCAACTCTTTGATATCTAATTTAGTCAGTTGTGGCGAGAACAAATGGAAGTTTGAAGTTTTCAATATGACTTTTTTGAGATCGACTTCGTTCATTGTAATCTCCGTCGGGCCTTGGACTTCAAGTTCGTTGACCTTACATAACACACACGAGAAACTCCCATCGGTGGTCAGTCGATTGATCTGCCCACTAAATAACACCTTCGACCCCCCACTCACTATAACATCAACAAATCCATCAGATGACAACACAAATGTGTCTGTAGAAAAGGTGACTGTTTTTGCCTTTGAAGCGACTAATTGGTTGATTTGGAGTTTCGATTCGGGAGATGTTCGTGTGAAGACTGCCAAGTCCTCGATGACTAATTTATTGATAACGACGTCGCGGACATTAAATCGTGATGGAACTTTCACACGCAATTCGTCGACATTTTCTAACTCAATTGGGGCGTCAATTGGCGTCGATATCGTGTAAACACAAGCGGCGTTTGACGGGACTTTTTCGCCTTTTTCATCAACACAATTGCTTGTGTAGAGTTTGTCTGAGAGAACCGTACATTCACAGACACTTTTTGCACTCATAGTAATATCGCCTAATACTGCAAATAAAACTAAAAGAGACAGCATGAGGCTTATTCCTTATAAGTTCAGTTCTTGAAAAGTGTTAAAAAAAAGTAAAAAGGGGTTTTTGGAATGTATTAACTTTTTATCGCAAAGAATCGGGAACTTTAAAACTTTGTCTTAGTGTTTCGACTTGTTATTAAGTTATTTACAATAAAAGACAGTTCCACAATAAGAATAAAAATAGTTCATTATAAATTATTTACTATATAAAACACTTTTATATTTATAGTTTATAAATAATTATAATATAATTTAAATGTAAATAATAATCTCAAACATTAAAGTTTTAAAATGTTTATTAGAATTAATTTTTATTAATTATTTGTTAAAATTACAATAAATTAACACTTTTGATTTGGATTGCGATTTTTAAAGGAAATAAAAAAATAAATTGTTTGTTATTACATACAAGATTATTAACCGATAAAAAAGATGGTACAATAAGGAAACAACACATCTATTAGAAACATATTCAGAACCATTGGAAAGCTACACAAGATACAACGGAGAAGGTGAGTGGGTATACAGACCCTGTGAATATATTACCGTCCGAATGAGTTGTATCTTCGTAAAATCGAGAAAAGGAACTTGAGATGTAACTTTTGTCTTCTGAGTTAATTCGAAAAGCGTCTGATATCCAAAACATTTTTTGTTTCTGATTTTTCTTGGCGATTGAAAGAAGTTGGTGGGTCATTGACTTTGGCTTAAACTTAGTTGGTTGATAGCCTTGGTTGTTATCTAAAGAGAAGATGAATTGGTCTTTATCTTCTCTCACCCAAGCACCTTGTTTCTCAGGCAATATACCATGGAAGGACCCAAAAACATCTCCCGTGTTTGTTACAACTACAAACATCACATTCTTTCTCCCTTGAACCTTTTTCCAGAGAGCATTTGACTCCAACTCATCGATCTCAGAGTCATAGATCTTTAATGATCGAGTTAACCCAGTCCACTCGGAAAGTAGATCCATCGAGTTGAGTCTTTGAGGGCAAGTCGCTTTCTCTGATTCAAACCCAAGAACGTCGTTGTTGTTAATCACTTTCGCTGTCATCTTTTGAATGTTCTACAAACACAAGTTCCTTTTATAGCTCGGAAGAAATTCCTTTTCTGAAACAGCCAAAACTACAACTACGGTCGAATTATTACGATCTTCTCTTACTCAGTATTACTTTACTAGTAATGTATAGCTTTTTATTATATTCTTTGTGTTTGTCAGAATGTGTGGTTCGAAAAAAATGTCCTTTTAAACCTCAGAGGCCTTTACTTTTGAATTCCCAAAAATGAAATGTAAACGAAATAATATTATACAATATAGTTTATTTATCATTTATTTTCTATTGGTATTCAAAAAAAACGCTTACGGGATTGGCTTGTAGGAAAATATTTCAAGAAATTTTTTTCTAAAAAACGGAAGCTTCGATAGAAAAGTCAAATACTAAAAAACTCAAAAATGCTATCCACAAAAATATTTTCCAAATTTTTTTATTAACTTCATAAATGTGGTTTTTCTTTTATAAATATACCATTTAAAAAAAATAAATATATATTATTATTATTAATATAATTATTAATAATAAAAATTGTTTTAAAGTTCCTTCTTTTCTTTGTTATACAAAATGACCTCTTTGTATCCATTCTCTTCTTTCCCAAACTTGAATTGCACCCCCAATTTAGCTGTTTTCACGAATAATATTCCTTCGATATAAATATCTTTAGCTTCAACGTTGTCAGCGAAAACGTTTCTAAGAACTTTGACCTTTTCAGCAATAACACTTCCTTTAATAATTGTGTTATTCAATACCACCCATTTTGCGTGTTCATTTACAAAACTGGCGTTTGTGTTTCTCACTGTGATTCCACTCCAATTTCCTGTTATAACAGCATTGGGTAAATATGCTATTAAGTCTAAATACTGTGAATAAATATCACAGTCCCACTTGTTATAATGAACTCCTCTCTCATCACTCCAAAGGAATTTGCATGAGCACAAGTTATCTGTCTCATGTTGTAAGACATTGGTTTGAAACTCTTCATCGTTACAATCCGTAAATCTGGTGTAACCCTTTCTTTCACATAATGCATTCAATTTCTCTGCTTCTTGAACAACACCATATACACTAAACTTAAACGGAGTAGTTGACACCTTCCCTTCAGAAACAAACGTAATTTCACACGACTCTCTGTGCTTCGAGTTGGAGTTCTGCCACGCCACTGAGACGTTACCAACAAGAATAACATGGTCTGCTGGGCTTGTTACGCCTCTCACAAAGACCACTTTATTCCCATCGACACTTGTTATCTTGTAGGTGATAGGATATTCCATGTCATTCTTCGACACTCTTATTGTAGTATTTGGAGTGTACACATTCAATTCAAAATCCTTCTGAATTTCCAGGGCCATCAGAGTGAGTGTATGTGGTTCTTGCACTCCACTCCCATATACATTCAACTTTTCAAGTGAAGAGAAATACTGTTTTCGAGGTATCATAGTCTTCATACTATCAAGTCCAAGTACAAAGTCGACGTCTTTTGAGTCGTCCAAGAACACGGTGAGTTCTTTACTTGTGTTAAGAAAGTTAAAGCTGACTCGATGAGATATGGAGTAACTATACACCTCTGGATCGAACTTACAAATTTCGTCTTTAACAAAGAAGAGGGTGTTATTCTTATAATAGTCGCAATAAGCAAGAGTGTGCAATGCACTGAGGGCAATTATAAGTTCAATCATTCAAATATTCAGTTCTCGCTATTTACAGTTCGGCAACCGAAATTCCAGAAGTGAACTTTTCAATTAGGCGCTGATGGGCTCAACGTAATTCTCGGGGACAAACCCCGACTGCCCCTTGTCGTTCGTCGCGAACCACCACCCGCTCGAGTGCTTCTCTGTGATGACCAAAATGTCTCCCTCGTGGATAGTTAACTCACTTTCGGCCTCCGCGGTGTAGTCATACAATGCTTTGACTTGTGTGGACGTCGTTGTTTTTTGGTCGCCCGCGGCTTCTGGTTCTTGTTGTTGAGCGACTGGTTGTGAAACCGCCCCTCCCATTTGAGGTTGTGAGTATGAGGCTGGTTGTTGAGCCATTGGTTGTGATCCCGCGTTACTTGCTCCCTCGAAGAGGATGTTTCCACTTGCGTCTTCGATTGGGAAATCGTCTGGCATATGACCATTCGTTGCTTTAGTTGTCGCGAAAGTGTTGATATCTGCGTCAGCGTCAATCTACAAAGTCAGTCACATCACTTGACAATATTTTGCACTGAAACTCTAAGTAACAAACGGCGTCAAATTTGCTCTTTGTGAATTCGACGAATTTGGAATAAGCGTCTGGGAGAGCTGTAAATGCCAAGCCGAATTTAGTCATCAAGTCCTTAATAGCGTTAATAATAGTCTCTTCGAATGCTTGGAATTGAGATAAAGTGTTTGGTTGTTGTGAATTATAATAGTCGTGGAGTCTCTCATTAGTAAGTTGGACTGTAGCTCTATAGTTTTGATCTGCTTCTTTAGCCTTTTCAATAGCCGATTCCTTTTTAGTTGTGAGTTGTTGCATTTTGTTGACTTTAGTGGTTTGGTCTTGCATAGCTTTTTCAACAGCGACGCTTGCCGAGTCGGCGTCTTTCGACAACTTCACAAAGGTGTCTTTGTCTTTTTTTAACACATCTTTTTGCTTTTCAAAGTCTTTAGTAATTCTTTGTCCGTCAGCAATCAATCCTTTTGCTTGTTTTTCATATTCTTTGATTTGGTTTTCAAGGTCTTTAGCGCTCATACTAAACACATTTGTTATCGCAGACTCCGTGTTCACATTTTCTTCGATGGCATTCAAATAACTCTCAAGAGCATCTTTCACGGTCCCATAAAACAAACTGTTTGGCCCACAGATCTTCTTTTGTCGGAAATCTTGAACTAATTTTGTCATACGCTTTTCATAGTCCTTTCGCTCCGACGCCATTTTCGATAAAAAGTCTTTGATATCAGAAAACGCCTTTGTGTTGTTTGTCGAGTGTTTGTACACCACATCCAATCCATCTATAAGGTTCTCTGCAAAGCTCATCTCAATTCCTTAATTCAAGTTCGCAGTTCAAACTCTTTATATAAACTAGTTGTTGTGTTCCCTCTTTTGCAGTCGTATTTGGACCATTTTCCTCCCCATTTCTTTCAATCCAAATTTTGTCTCTTCTGTACTCTTTCTTTTCAGGTATTTTTCTGGGAATTCAACACCTTTCTCTTTACGTTTTTGCAATAAAAAGTCTTCACAAAGTGGATATTTATTGACTACCATTTAGGGTTTTTCCTCTCAATTGTGTTTCAATAGAATTCTCCCACAATTTACTGATTTTGTTGGACCATATTTATGTTCCTTTTAGCTTGAAATACTTTAATCAACGCAAAAGAAACAAAAAAAAAGACTTTTTTTAGGTGTTTGAGGACGCCTTTTTGGTCTTGTCATTTATTATATTTATCTTTTTCAATATAAATAAAAGAAATATGATCCATTATCTTCCTAAAAGTGTCTTTTTTTATATAATAAATATATGTTATTTTTAATAGTTGTTTTACTATAATTTTCAAGTAATAGTAATTAATCAAAAATATAGTCATTTACAGTAATTATTTATTAGATTGAAAACCTCAAAATACTTAAACAAAACCATATCGAAATGTTTCATTTATTTTTGATGATGCTTTTTAAGATACTCCACCATGGAATCTGGAGTCGGCTTCATAGTATCTTTTCCCGGAACCCAGTTCAATGGACAGACATCACCATGCTTATCAGAGAACTTAATTGCCTCAATGATTCTCTTAGTCTCTTCAGTGTTTCTTCCAATACCATCGTCATTGGTTTGAGTATATCTCACAAGGCCTTTGTCGTCGATAATGACATACCCTCTTCTTGCAATTCCTTCGTCGATGTTCAACATATTGTACTTGATTGAAATACATTTCTTGATATCGGAAACAAGTGGGAAGGCAAGCTTTCCAATGCCTCCAATTTCTTTTGGAGCGTCGCACCATGCTTTGTGTGTGAAGACGGAATCAACAGAAATGCCAACAAATTGGACATCCTTCATTTCTTCGGCAAGTTTCGAATATCCCAACATCTCCGTTGGGCAGACAAAAGTCCAATCAAGTGGGTAGAACAACAAGACTACAAATTTGCCTTTAAAATCTTCCAAATTGAATTCAGTCAGTGTTCCCTTCGGACAGAAACATTTTGCCTTAAAGAGTGGGGCTTGATGTCCAATAGAAGCTTTCTCAAACTTGTTCAAAAACTTCCCATAAGCTCTTTTTATAGGGCAGACCATCTCCTGCTTCATGCAGCAAAACTCCTTCTTTTCTTCCTTCTTACACTCCTTCCCACAACTCATTGTATGATTTAATAAGATTTATTAAAACCACTTATATACCATTTTCATCACAATTATTGTCTCTTTTCTCTTCTGTTTTAACGTCATTACTTCTCCACAAATCACTTCTCTTTCTTTTATTCTTGAAGTCAATTGTATTTATTAATATTAACTTATTTATAACTCTTTTATTATTCATTTTAGTTTGACTCAACTTATAAACTATTTTTGCAACTGTCTTCTTTGACCATTTGACAAGTAACGCGTGATATTCCCATCTTTTTTTAATATTTTTCTTATTTTATTAAATACTTATACTAAATTAATACACAGATGTGAAGTGGTCATATGGACTTACAGACAATAATTAATGCAAACAAAAAAAATTGGTATCCACGTCATAGATTCATCCACACAGAAAAAATGTTATAAATAACAAAAGAATAACAACAAAGTTAATCGATCTCCATTTTGTTGTTCTCTGCATTAATGTCGTTGTCTGCAATTGTTGGGACGAACGTCTTCTTGACAAGTTCCAACTTTTTGGGGAATCCCTTGAAATCTGGGTTTCTGAATATTCTTGGGCATGGGTACGACACATGCAATCTTTCGTCAACACCATCTTTAGTGATGATACACACTCTCACTCGACTTCCCGAACCCATATCATTCAGAATACCAGCCTCAATCGCGTGTTGTGCCAAAGCCGCTCCTTCTTCGATTGTCAATCCTTCATTCCACCCATCATCCAAAATAGTAGTTGCTGCAACACTCCCACTTCCAAGCGAATAATAATGTTGTTCCGATGTATATCCATTAGCCATTAAACCATACAAATGTGCGCCGGTGCAGTCATACCCACCAAGTACTAAATAGACACCGAGGTGTCCTCCGTACTGGAATAAGTGTCTCTTAAACATTGTCACTGCTGTTTTTACTCGAGGGAATGTTCCAGTAGTCAGCCCATGGACTCCTAATTTTGTCGCAATGAAATTGGTGACATGGGTCAAGTCCGCAGCAGTCCCAGCACCACCGCAGTATATGTTTTGCGCCAATTTATGGAGTTTCATGCAGTCCTTGTCTGCAACTATTGGTCCAGCTGTTGCTCGTGAGTCACAAGCAACAACCACGGCTTCTCCATGATTGCAAATCAATCCGCAGATGGTTGTTCCCGTCTTTAAAAATTTCGACTTGTCATTCACGTAATTCGTCCCAACTGGTAACCCAAAGTCGCAGTTTTCCATTAAATTTTAGAGTTCTCATTAAATGAAAAACTTCATCATTACAATCTCCCATCTCTTTTTTATTTTTTTTTATAAAAAACAAAAAACTCAAAAAAAACAAAAAAAGAATGTGTATTGTTTTGTTTTAATTAATAATATTATTAATAATATTAAATATAATAATATTAATAATGATATTATAATATTTAATATCATTAAATAATAATTATTATTTATTATAATGATTATTATAATATATATAACTAAAATGAATTGGTTTTTAAACTACATTGTGTTAATTTGGTTTATGTATTTAAAAATGTTACTATAAAAACAATTCATAACAAAAAATTAAAATGTGAAACAATAATAACCCTTTACGAAATTATAAATAATAGTAAAATAAACCAAAAATATGGTAGATAACTAAAATGATGGGCTTTGAGTTTTTGGAGATTAATAAACTCGGAAAGCAATGACAGTTGAGGGGAAGCGGACTTTGGACATCGAGTCCACAAGATTGATAAACGAAATGAACCTTACGCCACAAAGCAAAAAGACGCCTTTGAAAGTACTCTATTTTGACGTTGCGATACAATTTTCGAAAACCTACCAATACAGGATAATGTGCTTCCTCTTCGAAGAGAGGAGGTTTGTACTACTGAGGCACAACATTGTTAAGGAAGAGTACTTTTTCACACAAGTGTCGAACGTTTCTATGGGGGACACGCTCCAACCACAAGTCACTGTTTTGAGTCTGACGGGTAATGTGTCTACACTCGAAATCGTGACACAGTCTTCGAACGACGCTATACAAATATTTCAAATTTTTTATCAGTTGTCGCTTACGCCACGTTCCAAATTCTATAACGAAGACTTTGGGCAGGACACAGTGAAAGTCAAAATGGAAGTGCCGTGTTGTAGAAATACAAACAATTTGTGGTCTCCGAGAAAACTGGTTATATACAACGGGAAGTTTGTGTTGTACAAAGAGGGAGAATCGAAACCGGCAAATATATGCCCCTTTTCCGCACGACTCAAATTCGAAACCCATGTTGGTGCAATTCTTCAAATCGACTCTGTAATTCGAAGCTACATTTTGAAATTCGAGAGCGAGGAGAAAATGAAACAAGTTGTCGAAACGTTCAATACATGCTTTCAGTTTACAAGACCACAAATTCGACTTAAAACGAGAAATTTTACATCGGGTAAATTGGGGCTGTTAACTACTTCGTCGAGAGAAATTTGTGTCAAAAATTTGTTGGATCCGGACGAGTGCAATGAACACTTTTTCGATTTGATGGAAATACTTAAAGCTCTTCTGAAAGGACGTAAAGTACTTGAGAAGGTTAGGCCCGACATCGCACAAGAAGAAGAACGAAGAAACCAAATGAGGATTGGACAGATTCAACAAGATTTCCGAGAGGACGACCCATTGATTTACTGCGAGCAAGGCAACCCAACCGACCTATACACCAACTTTGTTTCGGTTGGAAAAGGGGGATTTGGTGAAGTGTTCAAAGTTTTGAGCAAAAATGGGAATCAAGCCTTTGCAGTGAAAGAACTCAAACACACAATCACACAAAGAGCATCTAAAATTGGCATTGAAATTTCTCGGATGTCAATTTGGAACCACAAAAACTTGATCAAGCTGGAAAAGTGCCTTATGTTCAAAGGAAAAATATATGTTTGTCTTTTTTTTGTCAAAATGTTGATACTATTATACAAGTACTTATGAATAGATTGTGATGGATTACTGTACAAACGGAAGTTTAAAAATGTTGATAAAAGAGCGCGGTCCTTTAGAACTTGACATAATCGCCTTTTTGTTACGTGGAATAGTGGAGGGTGTCCGGTACATCCACGAGCAAGGGTTTATCCACCGTGATATCAAAACGGCAAATTTGATGTTGGACTCCAACAATGAGCTGAAAATTATCGATTTTGGCCTTGTCATCCGAAACAGCGCGCTTCCTCACAACCGAGCTGGTTCGAAGTCGTACATGGCGCCAGAAGTCATCAAGCAAATTTTGTACAACGAGAAAGTCGATGTGTGGAGTATTGGGTGTGTTGCGCAAGAGCTTTTAGAAACGCAACCACCATACAAGGAACATGGCATCGTTAAAGGGATGTTTAAAACTGTAATTTACGGTGCGCAGGGTCTTCGTGATGTCAGAAAAGCCACCCCACAATTTCTGGAGTTCATGGAAAAGTGTTTTGTGTATGATTATACAAAACGAGCGTCTTGTGAAGAATTGCTCAAAGTTTGTTTTTTGCTTATATCAGTGATAAATCACAAGTAGCTTCCCTTCTTCGATTGTGCCAAACACCTTTGAAAGTGTGTATTTCTGTTTTTGAATAAATAATTGAATGGTTTATGTTGTATATATTTAACAATTTTGAGGCCAAATTTTATTGTATTAAACAATCATTTCTTTCCCATTGATTTGAAAAGCACTTTTTATTTCCAAAAGATGTCTGTTCCAGAAAAATCCAAAGACGATGACCAAATCAGTCTAAAAAAGTGGAGCGGCGTTGGGCTGTGGTCGTACAAAATTGAAGCGGTGACGTGTTCGATTTGCACGCTCAAGCTCTCTGAGCCTTGTCTTACGTGTCAGTCCACGCACACGGGTTTGTGTTGTGTGATATAATTTAAAAGTGATCAATAACAGAAAGCTTGCTCGGTCAGTACTGGTGCGTGTAATCACGCCTTTCATTCCCATTGCATCGAGCATTGGCTCAAGACCAAGCCGGTTTGTCCCATCGACTTTGGCCCTTGGGTTTGTGACAGCACTGAAATCATTCCCCAAAAACCCGTTGACAAAGTATGAGTTTTTCGTACAAATTTACAGTTTTATTTCTTTTTGATGTTCAAAAAAGCTGTTTCTTTTGTTTTCCGTCACTTTGTAAAGCACTTTTGGCTGAAGCTTAACAATTCATACCACATAACAGTAAACAATACGTAGAAAAAATCTATAACATCGGGAAAGTCTCCAAAAAAGTGAAGAAGAAAAGCCAATCCTAGATGGCGGGAATTTGAGGTTTAACTTTTATTTTTTTAAGTCCACCCATCTGCAAATAACAAATTCAAAAAAATGGCCAAAGCCGCACCTCCAAAGTTCGAAATTAAGAAGTGGAACGCCGTCGCGTTGTGGTCGTGGGATTTGCAAGTCGACACTTGTGCCATTTGTAGAAACAGTTTAATGGATCTATGCCTTGAGTGTCAAGGAAACACTGGCTCAAATGCCGAAGGTTTGTTCTTGTTATGTTTAATTTCTTTGTTATTACACAAATGCATATACAAAGCAACACACCATATATCTCTCGTATTCTCACTTACATATAGAATGTACCATTTCTTGGGGTGCTTGCAACCATGCCTTCCATACTCATTGCATTTCGGGATGGCTTAGGAACAGAGCCATTTGCCCTCTTGATCAAAAGCAGTGGGAATATGCTCGTACTGGAAAATAAACTCATTTTTACCCTTTCTTTGTTCCTCATTTTCCACTCCTTTTTCTCTTATTGTAAATAACAAGCAAAATTATATAACAATTCGTTCTTATTACCTTTAAAACTCTTAGTATTATGTATTGTTATAAATATCTTAGGCATTAGACTTATAACATCTTACTCTTAAGACTCAAGATTTGTTTTGCAAGTGAACCCTCACAAACAGACAAATGCACATCAATTACACATCAACACCGTAGTTCTGCAACAAGACCAAAATGTGCTTAGCGTACGGAACTTTTCTGAGCGACGAAATTTGTGGGAGGACGACGTTGTTGACCATGAACTCTCGTTCGGTGTCGGAGACATTCTCGATGATTTTCTGGACGACGTAGTTCGCATATTGGTCCCTCATCATCATAAGTAATGGTGTTCCTTCCCGTTTGGTCCCATAGATCTCTTTGAGCATCTCCTGTCGTCCTTTAGCGTTCGCACACATGAAGCACTTCTCGATCACATTAGAGCTATACTTCTGCATCGATAGCTCGGCAATACTGCCTTGAAGAGCTCTACGGATTTTTGTCCTCTCCGTCGGACATCTCTCTACAATGTATTGGATTACATAGTTGCCGTATTGGTCTTTGGACAACTCTAAAGTATTTGGAAGGATCTCTTGGAGTAAAGGGTAACTCTTCTCTGTTGGGATCTTCTCGAGAATTCTTTGAATGACTCGACACCCGTATGGGTGTTGAGAAAACGCCAAGACACGACCTTGAAACGCGGAAATAATCGCGTCGATGATACGGGTATCCCCCTTCTCCACACACTTTTGAATGACATGGTTGCCGTTCTGATCTTGAATGCAGGCTACTATATTCTCTTCGATTTCATTAAAGATCGTCCGCTTGTCGATATCGTCGACAAATTCAATTGCTTTCTGGACAACTCGACAGCCGTACATATGCAGTGATAACTCGACAAAACAGCCAGTTAAGCGCTTAGTCAGTTGGCTCTTTTGCCAGACCGTCCCAAATTCAAAGAGTTTCTGGATGACATAATTGGCAAAGACATCTTTAGACAAGTGAACAGCCTCGGCTTCAATACCATCGAAGATAGCATCTCTGTCAGATGTTGAAGTTTCTATTTTGTGTTGGACAACCCTACTGCCCGATTGGTCTTGTGACAGTGTCAAATAGTCTTCTTTGAATTGTTGGTGGAATCTTTTGGAGGGTGTCGCGAGTGAAATGTTTTGTGGTTGGGGTGGTTTGTCGTCGTCACTTGTCTTGAAATACCTTTGAAGGAAGACATCATACCCCTCCGAGTTCTCTTCACCATCAGGCCGACTCAAACCCTCCTTCGGAGAACTCATGTCCGCGTGCATGAACTTCTCTATGTCGCACGACGTCTTCTCCTGGACGTCTCCGTCGTCGAGCAAATTACCCAACACGCTCTCTAACGTTTGCTTCATAAAAATGACCGAACTAAGGGTTCTCCAAGTTTTGTGTTCTATAGTTCTTTTGTAGCTGTTTTTACTATTTCCAATCCCCTTCTTTTTCCCTTTTTCCTAAAATCATTTTTGGTGGAAAAGGAAACCATTTTGGAGGATTTGTTCGGGAATATTACCTTTTTCTTTTTGTGCTTATTTGTCGAAAAAGATAGAAATTAGTTATTTATGTTTTTTTCCCTTTTTGTTTTGTATGTTTTTTTTAAAAAATAACCAACCTAAAAAAACAAGTCTAAATTGTTATTTCAAACAATAAACAAAAATTTTATTTTTTTTATTAGTTTTGAGATAGTACTTATTATAAAAATGTTAAGTTTGTGGATTTTTAAATTTTGTGAAATCAAAAACGAGTTGAAAAAAATTGCGAAACTTGTAAAAAATTGTGTGGTGATTTTTTTTGGACATTTCATTTTTTTTTTGTGAATTATAGTATTTTATTATTATAATACTATAAATTCATTTACAATGTTTGAACTATTTATTATAATAATTTGTATTATAATTTTGTATATAATTTGTATAGAATAATTATAGTTAAATAACTAACAATGAGTGGTATAAATGAGTTAAAGTTTAGCAGCAACTGACATGAAGTCCTCTAATTGCTCGTACTTTGGCTCGACAATTCTCTGCTGCTCAACACCATTATGGTAAAGGATGAATGTTGGGACATGTGCAACTTTGTACTCTGCTTTCAGTTGTGGCGCTTTGTCGACATCAACATCGATGCAGACTGAGTTCTTGGATTCTTTGACCAATTTTCTGTAAAGTGGCTTGACATAGATGCAGTCCTTGCACCATGTTGCATGAAATTGAACGACAGCAACACCGCTTGCAATCTTTTCTTTGAGTTGAGCGCCGTCAGTGAGTTGGATTGGTTCTGCCATGTTATTTTGTCTTTCACAGTTTTGTGTTTTGTTTAAGAGAACAAGACTCTGTCCAGTTCACCTCAATTGTCTCACTTTCTATTACTTGTGGTTATTTTACCATTTATCATTGTTTTAAATATAAATATTATTTCTAGTCATCGTTTTTGAATATCTCCGACTTTCGGGAACACTTCCTCTTGTTAGGTTGTATTCCCGTTTATTATAGGACAGCCTGTTTAAAATATCATTAACAAAGACTTTTGGTCTTTTTCCAGAACCAATTATATTTCTATTTTTAAATATTCACTGTATTATAAAATGATTATATTTATTATATATTTTACTACATATTTTCATCCGAAATCGCTTTTATATATATAGATATTTTACAAGTATTTTTTATCAAATGATTATATTTATTGTTGTGATAACCACAATAGTAAAAACCAGACACTTTATTATTCAATTCTAGATGTTCAAATTTGAAGTGAAGTAGAGTAGTAATTTCAAAGATCCAACAGTTAATCATGTAGCACAACGAAGAGTTACTGTCAAATAAAATAAAGTAAAAGCAGTAGCTTAGTTCACACAAAATGGCAATTTAATTGTTTTGTCCTTGAACTCCTCAAGCCCTTCTCCATTATATGATTTAGCAAAGCTGATTTCGCATAAATCGGACTCTACTGATGAATTTGTGTTTTCTTAAACAAACAATTTTGTTAAGTGCAAATATAATGGATGAAAACATTCATTCAAAAGTTATACTGTACAAAAACATTTTATCTATTAAATATTATAAAACAAACGTGAGTCATCCACTCTCGCACCTGCTTTTCTCAACCAATTCTTAGCTTGTTCACAGAACATTTTTCTCCCTGAGTCTGGGCAGTCTACTTTGGCGTCGTTGGCGTTTTTAAGTGGAGAAAATTCCTCTTCCCTTCTCACCTCGAGTGCTCCCATCTTCTTAGCAAGTCTAAACGCGTCAAATATGAACATCTCAAATTTGAATCCATTTGGGCTTTCGGGGTGAACCAATTTACCGTCTGCGTCAATAAATGGGACCTTTTTGTGTGCAATATGGAACGGCAAATACTCTCCTCCAACCTTTTTCAAAAATTCAACAGTGTAGCCATTGTTGCAGATGTGTGCAGCATTAAACACTAATTCACCCTTTGAGTCTCTTCTCTCAGCCATCTCTCCTGATATCTCAGAGTACTCAACTACAGCTGGTTCATTGTTTTTTAACACCAACACCCCTACAGCCTCTTTGGGTGATGTCTTTGGTAACACCTTTGCACAGCAGTCAAATCCGTTGTAGTCCATATACCCAATGAAGGCCGGGTCCGCCATTTTATTCAAGACGTTGTCAACAGCCGTCTGAATGACGTATTTGACTCCTCTTGCGTCCAAATTTGCCAACACCCCACTCTCCATCAGCCCTCTATAAACTCCTCCATTCCCATTTGGTGAAAGTGAAACCGAATGTGTCGTCTCCATCAGTACTTTCCCATCTTTGTCAACCGCTGGTAGCATTCCTTGTTCGAAAAAGTAGACATCATTTTTATTAAGCCCAAAATAGTTGTGCGATTCATAGTACTGTTGTATTTCAATAGAGTTAGAGTGGTTCGTCATCACAACAAGTGGAATGGCATTTGTCGTATTGGCAAGTCGTTGGAGGGATTGCAGCCTCTCGCTCTGGATTTGGAAGAGACTTTTGTGGCTTGGAAGGCCGATGTCGTAGCACCCCTTTGGGTGATCAAACCCGAGCCTGGTTCCTTGTCCTCCAGCCAGCATAACAACAGCAGCTCTTCCTTCTTTTATAAGCTCGAGGCCTCTGTTAATCCATTTGTTGTAGTCAGGAGAAGTGACTGATGACACGTTGGGGAATGGGGCAATGTTTCCTGTGAGGAAGTTTTGTGGGTGCAACAATTTTGAAATACAGTCGAAGTCCAGAGAAGCAAGTGTTGTATAGTACAGGGACTTTTCATTTGGAGATAGTTTCGAAACAAATTTGAGAAGATGTGATTGCCCACTTGTGGCAATTTTGGATTCAAGTTGCTCGTCTGACATTTTGTTGAGATTGAAAGAATAGTTCACTTTTTCTTTTTAAATAATTATTTATCAGTCTTCACTTTCTTTAAAATCTCCTGATATTTTTATCAGTTAATAATAATTAGAAACCATATTTTATAATGTAATTTTAATTTTCTTATGTTGATATAATAAATGATATTTTTATTACTATGATTAAATTGGTGACAAAATAATCAAAAAATTAGTAAATTAATTCTAAAGGTGACCTTCGAGATTTTCACGACCCAAGTAATCTTAAGATTATTTGGGTCGAATAAATTATTTTTTTGTAAATCGGCATTTTTTTTACCAAATAACACAAAAATATTTTTTAAAATTTCACAAAATTATTTTTTTCTGAATTTACACAATGTTGAATTGATTATATATGATCATCATTAACCTTAACAGATCGTGTTATCAATTTTCATAACAAAGTTGCCAACACAATTAAAGGTTCAAAAAGACAAAAACAAAACAAATATACAAGAGTGTTGATACAAAGGTAATTCTCAAGTTATATTTCCACTAAAATAATAGTTATCTATTACATTGAATTTATTGATTTATAAATAATAACCTTTGTGTTATGTCTATGATATACATTAAAACAAAAATATACGATTATCATCAATTTCATTGTGTAACTACGTCGATGTACACAATTTTTATTCAACAACTTTTTGTTGATAATTACATGTAAGAGAGTTGTTATATACGATTATTTTCTTAACTATCGTTTTCTTATTATTCATATAAAAACACACAATTAAACACACAGTAACAACACAACATTTATTATTATCTAAAATAGAAACATCAATTGATTATAAATTTCAATATTTTAATAGCAATAGATGATATATCAGGTTTCACCGTTAATCACTACGTTTTTATTTTTATATAATGTCAAAAATAAAACGTGATAAATTTTTAGTGTGTAAACATGTAACATCAAACCTGAACTTAAAATCATTACACTGAAATTACTAGAATAGCACAGTTTAAAACATTTTTGCTTATAACTTGATGCTCTCTCACATATATACATAAAATATAAAAATAAATATTTTATCGTCAAGGAGTAAAAGCAGACGATAAATAATTACAAAATTGATTCCAGTTCTTTGTTGTGGAACATAAGTCATTTCAACAAAAATGAATACACTTTTCATAATTATTTTAAAAAATAATTATATACATCTTTATTTATTATAACAGTTATCTCTTTAGATCATACATAAAAGTGCATTAAAACATAAATATTTGTTTTTTTGGATTTATAATACGATGCACATATAATCTGAGTAATACACAAAAATTTAATAACAATTCAATTGCTTTCAAATTGAATTATATTATAATGTAGAAAAAAATAATTAAATTTATATAATATATTTAATTGTATCTAAGTGACAACACCAATGTAATTAAAAAAATACAAATTCGTTTATTATCAACATTTTTTTTATTTATTCACATATATATTTGATCATTTATCATAACAACTTTATCTGGTTGTCAGTCATTTTAACCAGTAAATATATGATTTATTTTTATTACGTGTACACAAGAGTGTGAACCACAAGTCGTCAAAATATTTATTTACATTCTTTTCATATTATAATAATTTTGTATTTGTTTAGTTTGAAATTATATGTTTACACACTCAAAAGGTTTTCATGTTTAATAATATTATCCGTTATTATAATAAATATGTAGAGTATAAAAGTGAATAGTTTTATATTAATTATCAAAATAAATTCATTTAAAAGTAACGATATAATCATGTTATTATTTCACTATTCAATAACAGTTGTGATGTCATTTTTATAATTGTGTTGTTTATGTGTGTGGTAGACATAATAAATTAAAAAAATAATATATATTAAATAACATTATTTACATATTATCATCGACAGTAAGTTATTTGAAAATAATCTTTTTTTGATGTGGTTACACAATGAAAATGGTCACACATGTTATAAATATAAAAGATATATTCAAATATCAAAAATATGTCATAAATAATTATTCTCTTTGGTTTATGTTCACATCAACAATTACATTCGAACATGATTATAATTGTTTATTTATCATTCGATGACTTGTCACATTGGTAACTATGTGTGATTATCAAAAAACTACTTTTTTATATGAAATTATTTGTTTAAATATGAATAATTATAAAGAAATACATTTATTTTTTGTTTACCAAATATTATTTTGTAATCACTTTTTTAACATTAAAAATAATTAATTAATTCTTTTTTTTTAATTTATAATTATCTGACATGCATTTCAAACCTTTTGTTACCAGTTCTTAATTATTTTAAGTTTGTTTTTGACTTTAAATAATTATTGTCAGCCCAAGCATTTTGATGGATCTTCAAAATCACCTTTAAAAATAAATGATTTGTTTTTATTTTTTAAAAAACATGATTTTTGTGTGATTTTTTTAATTTATTTAAACATTTATTGGTTTGTTAAAAAGCATATGAAAAAAATCATTTATTTCATCATAAACTCTACAATATATTTTCAGATTGACACAAAAACATCACATATTAAATTATTTTTCTACACATTTTTTTGATTTTATTTTCACTTTTGATAGTATTATATTATTTTTTGATTTAATTTTCAATATTATTTTAGTTTTTATATAATGGTAACACACATTTTTTAATTTGCCAAATTTTTAAAAAGTTACAATCAAATAGACATCATTGTCCCGGTAAATACCAGTAACTTCCATGTGTTATAACGATGATTTAATATAGATGTAAACTCAATAAAACTTAAAAAGAATATTTAAAACTGTTTTAAGAATTCTATGGAAACCGGACAACTCACAGTTTTTTTTCAAAAAAAAATACAAAACCACCCAGAAAAAGTCCCGGAAATTTCATCCTTTTTAAATTCATTTTTCTTATTATTATTCTCCATTTTCCAAAAATCGAGAAAAAAAGCAGAAACACCGAATGATTGAATTAGAATAAGAAACACTGAATTTAGAAATAGACTTTTTTGCTATAAAAATTCTTGTTGATAATTAAAATTCATTGAATGGTTTCTTTGTCTCACATCAACTTTATATTACTGATAAGTTTGACTTCAGTAATATCAAAAGATTCACTCGAAATCCATGTCTTGGATGTTGGCCAAGCAGATTCACAATTGATAGTCTTTCCTTCGGGTTATTCCATTTTAATAGACGCTGGTGAGACGAGCACGGGTTCTATGAATTGCAAGAAAATTGCTGAGAGGATAAAAAGCATTTTAAACACCACCAGAGTCGACGTCGGAGTGATTACTCATCTGCACCAAGACCATGTTGGTGTTCCCTTCAAAAGTGGCTTCTGGTACTTACTCGAGTCATCTGGCATAAATTTTGGTAAGATCATTGATCGAGATTCTGGTGTTGTTAAAAGTGGTGTGACCGATTGTTCCACAGAAGACGATATTGAGTGGCACACAGTTGGAAGCCTTTCTTCTACTGCGATTAACTGGATTTGTTATGCGACACAACAAACGTTGATCACTAAAATACAACCAAATCGGCAATTAGCCACTTCATGCTCAAATGAAATTAATCCACCAGATAAAGACACCACCATTGAAATTGTTGTTGTCAATGCAAATGGTGTTTTATATAAAAATGTTCCGTTGAATGGCGACCACCACACCGAATCGTCTCCACCAAGTGAAAACGACTACTCAATTGCACTTAGAATACAACATGGAGATTTTGTATATTCTACTGCTGGAGATTTGGATGGAGAGTATTCGACAGGATATGGGTACGTTTATCATGACATAGAAACACCATACAAAGACAATGTTGGACAAGTAGATGTCTACCATGCTAATCACCACGGGTCAGAACACTCTAACAACGAAGAATGGGTTAAAACATTAAACCCTACTGTTTCCTTAATATCTTGTGGAGCAAACAATCAATATGGACATCCTTCATTAAATGCAATGAACAATATGAACACGGTGTCACAAAATATATTCTTAACACAAGACTGTAATCCAACAGTGACAGACCAATTTGTTGGTAAGACCGTAATTGTCAATGATGAAATTGTGGTCAAGTACAAAAATGGAGATGAATCGTTTATTGTTACTGATTCAAAAGATTCATTTGAATCAAAGTTCGAAGTGATCAAAAACAAAAAACAAAGACAAAACAGTATTTGTAGCCTTTTATAATTTTCATATTGTTTATTTTTATCGTTTTCCTTTTTGATATTCTAAATCTTTTTTTATAACACTTTTATTGAAATGAAAGAAAAGCGGTTTTCTTTGCAGTAAAACGTATTTACTTTAATGCTGCAAATCAAATTCTTTTTTATGATTTTTTTAATAAATATTTTAAAGTCACATTGAAAACAAACTCCCAATTGTAGATATAACATAGCATCGTTGGAAATATAACTGTTTTATGTAAAATTTAAAATAATAAATATTAATATTTTTAAATAAACATTTTAAAATTATAAAAAGACAATCAAAATACAAATAATATTAAATATATTATAAAGGTAACAAAATTAAAATAATTTCTTAACAAAATATATTAAAATAATGTTAATAATTCTAAAATATATATTTTAAAAAATATATAAATTATATTAACAATATAAAAAAAATTATAATTTAATATTATGATAAAATTGTATATTTAATAAAAATATGAATTATTTTTAAAGCATCACTTCAATTGATTAGTGTTGAATCCTCTAAAAAGCATAACCTCAATTGATTTGTCTTTTTGATTATATCAGTTTATTTTTACATTTATATTTATTTTTTCTTTTTTCCTTATATTTGTTAAATTATTTTTTGTAATTCTTATTATTTTTTGTTATTTCATTGAATATTTTATTTAATAAATAAAACTTTTTCTTATATATTATATATATTTTTTTTGAAGATTTATCATATTTTTATTTCTTTATTCCGTCAAAATTTAATTATTTGTTATTTATTTCAATATAATTTATTCGTGTTTCAAAATTTTGAACATTTTCTCAAATTATTATTTTAAAACATCAATGATTTTTATCTTAACAGGTATTTTCTGAAACCTACATTGACCACCACCACCACCTCTTAAAATAGATTTATTTTTTCTATTTCGAATCATATTCAAATTAAAATTATAGTAAATAGGAAACTGGGATAATATTAGGTCTGGTTCCCGAATTCAAGAAATGCCGAAAAATCACCTCGAGTTAGTGGAAACCGAGTGAGACGGAGCATTGAAAAGAAGGCTCATAAAGACGCACTCAAACAGTCTGTTTGTGCACCGTTTCACCCACTTTCCAAGTCCTCCCTTGGCGCGGATCCCCCCCTGACCCCCCAGCAAGCGGGGGGAACCACATCCGCGTCCACACAGTACGGACAAGGAAAGTGGGTGACATGGGGACGCACAAACAGTGGCTGAAAAATGGACTCCCTTCAAAAAACACTCGCGGCAAATATTTTTTTTTGGTAAAGGTGGTGGTGGTGGTCAATGTAGGTCCCGGTATTTTCTATTTGATTTTTTTATACCCTTTAGTAATTAAATAAACTCTTATAACTAATATACATAAAAACGTTACAAAATTTTATTGTTTTGGTTATTTTTTATTTCCAAATAAAACAACTATTTTATTCTTATATTAAAATTATAATTTGTGAAATTAATATTGATTTTAGAAAAATACAAATTGATTTATTCCATACAAATATGTTTTTTTTTTTCTTTTTTATAAATCAAATCATATTTTTTCCTTTCAAAATATAGTAAAAATAAAAACCTGAATAAATAACCTGTAGATAACGAATTTATGAAGCTCTTGATTTTTTATTATCTGTGAATTGTATTTATATAATATAATTTGTATTGTTACCTACTAATAAGTGTTCTTATAAACATTTGCAAACACAAAATGTAATTGCACAAATTTTGGATTATATTTATAACAAAAAGATATTTTTGATAAACAAGGAATACTAAAATTTTTAATAAGAAGAAATCAATTATGTTTTACTCTTATAACATTTAAAGAGTCTACATAGCGCCGAGGAGTCATCTTTTATAACCCACATCTTTGCCCCTGGTATTACCAGGTTTTATCCAAACCAAAGTCAAATAGCCTTAAATTTTTAATATAAAATAAGAACAAAAAAACAATTAAAATATAATACATTATTTTAAAGTCTATGAGAAATATAAAAGCATTGTATGATAAAACCAAATTAAACAAATCACAAGAAGACTTATTTAAACGCGCGGCTGTTGATTGTTGTGGTTGTTGGATCCATAAAAAGAACGTTGTTTATGTCGATTGAGTTGTAAAATGCAAATCGCCCAACACACTTTACGTTTTTGTGTATTTCTATTACATCAACGTTCTTACAACCTCTAAAACAGTTATTTCCAATCTCAACAACATTTTCTGGAAGTCTTCCAATTTTTTTTCCATTTTCGTAATCAATTCTTAGATACACTTCAACATCAGTCTTTACAAATACAACGTTTTTGCTCTGAATACCATTCTTACGTAACATTTCATTTATCGCACATGTGACTGGGAGTGTTATTTCGGTGACTCTTTTCTTACTAATATAGAACTCAGATAATGAAATGCATTCCTCAAAAGTGTTATACGAACACTTGGGAACGTCTGCATCAAAAATCACTCTTTTTAAATTACTACAATTTTTGAAACAACAACTTTGAATTGAAGTGATTGACTGTGGTAGTTCTATCTCCCTAAGAGAGACACAATTTTCAAAACAAAACCCTCCAAGTGACTCAACACTCTTGCCAAATGTTATTTTCGACAGTGAAATACAATTCAAAAAAGCTCTGTTTTCGATAAGAACAACATTCTCTGGTATTTCAATATTCACAAGGCTTGTCATTTCCTCAAAACTGTTTTCTTGTATTTTTTCAACACTTTCTGGAATTAAAATAGTTTTTAATGATAAACAAAATGCAAATGTCTTGTTAAATAATTTGCATGTTGTTTCGTCGTTGTTTATGAACTTAACTTTCGATAACAAAGTACACCAATTAAATACTGACGTATTGTTAATTGTGATATTTGGAATCACGGCACGTTGTATCTGAAAACACTCGTTAAATGCAAAGTCACCAATTTGTGTGACATTACTTGGGATAATTACTTCCTTTAATTTTACACAACGGTAAAAGGCCAATTCGCCAATTCGTTTCAAAGACTTTGGAAATTTTATACTTTCAAGTGAATAACAACTTTCAAATGCACTTTCCTTAATTTCTTCCAATGTATCTGAAAGTATAATTTGCGTCAACAAATTGTAATTAGAAAAGCAGTCCTTTTCAATAGTTACAATATTATTTGGCATTTCAAAGTAAGTAGCTGCACCCCACCATTTACTTTTATTGTTAAGGTCCAGCGTTTTAAATTCTTTTGAAATACACTTGAATTGATTCCATTCATCACTCCCAAATATAACATTGTCACATGTCACTCCACACTTCTCTAAGCGTTTCTGTTCAATGACCGAGACACACCCAAAAAATGAACTTTTGCCACATAAATCCACATGTTGTAAATTATTGCATTTTTCAAACACATTTCTTCTTATCTTTGTTAATGTTGTTGGTAGTGTGATACTCGTAATTGCATTATTCAAACAACAACTCCCCATTTCTTGAACACTCCCCAAATCAACTTCACCACTTACATTCTTGAAAAACGAACCTTTTATTTTCTTTATTGGAGAAAAAACTGTGAGGGAATGAACTTTTGGGTAACTCCCATTGACAGTCAAATACACATCATCTGGAAGTGACAAAATGGTCTTCACCACATCAGCACCATCTTTATTCAAATTTGCTTCAATTTTAAAACATTTATACCCAAATTTCTCGATAATAGGTCGTTCGTTGAGCCCCACTTGGAAGTTGACAATTTTATTAGTATTTGGGATATCAAGTCGTGTCAGAGAGACGCAATTCACAACACACCCGACACCCATTTTGGCATTATTATTGACTATTAGACTCCGAAGTGAAGAACAGTCGTTAAAACACAAGTTACCAATTTGTGTCACATTTTCCATGTTCACAATTTGTTTCAATTGTTTACATCCATTAAACGCCATTTCTGGAAGTTGGAGAACAAGGGGTGACATAAAGACCTCTTGAAGATTGTTTGAATTGTCACAGATTCCGTTTTCGAGTTTCATAATATTGTTTCCAAAATCTATAACTTTGAAAGTGCTGTTTAATGAGAATGTGTATTTATACACTTCGTGATAATTGTCTGGAACATAATAGTTTTCACTGTTAACTAACTTTTGATTACTTGAAACTAATTTGGTGAACCTTTTCTTGTCGTTAAACTCGCCGTTGTCGTTCAAGCAATTGTCTTCATCAGTCTCACAACAAAAGTCGTCATAAAATTTCTTAAAGATATCGACCTCTTCATATGATATCAAATGTTTTACTCTGCCATTAAGCGTGGGAACAATTAACTTTGTGAGACTGGTGCACATTATGAATGTACTTTGCTTCAATGTGCAATTCTTTGAAAATACCAACTCTTTGATATTAACACAATTCATAAAGGCGCCATAATCAACATAAAGAACCGACTTGGGAATATGCAATTCTTTAAGGGAAGAACAATTTGAGAATGCGTCTGTTCCAATATATAACAAATTGTCTGGGAGAATCACACTTGAGAGTTTTGTGCATTCTGAAAAGGTGTAATGGGCGAGACTAATAATGCTTTGTGAAATTTTAACTTCAACAAGGTTGTCGCATTGACCAAAGAGAAACGACTCAATGCATTTCACTGTGTTTGGAAGAGTTAAAGCTGTTATTCCACACTTCTCAAATGCGGAACTATCAATTATTAAGACAGAGGATGGGATGTTCAATGAGAGTAAGTTCTCACAAAATTGAAAACACCCCACTGGGATCTCAGTGATGTTTTCAGTGAGTTCGACTGTCGTCAAATTTGTGTTTCCACTGAATGCATCTCTATCCAATTTTGTGATGTGTGAAGGAAGTGAGACTGAGTCTATTTTAAAGTTATTTAAAACCTTACTACCATAAATCGTAACGGTGTTTGGAATGTCAGTAAACTGTGTTATTCCTAACATTTGGACATCACTAAATGTAGCTTTAATGTGTTTAAATGTTGTTGTAAGCTCGGAGAATAAAGTCTGTGTTTCATTGAAAGTAACTTCATACCATATAACTACTCTCTTAATAGAGGGAATGACTTCCTCATATCTCATATAAATGTGTTGTGTCTCCATGTATGGAAAAAGCTTTTTCGATCGGACTGGAATTGGGTTGTATCGAAAACGATCAAGAACACTTGAAAACTTTTTATTAATCAAAACAGCATTAACAAAGTCGTCTGCACTTGTAAAATATTTTGATACAATTTGTAAATAAAAAACGGTTAGGGATGCAGCCATCTTCTAGAGTTTATTCTGGATTTTAAATCTAAATTAAAGAATTTAAATTTCAAATTGTTTAAACTCAAAGTAGTTATGAGGAGTTTGAATATAATAAATGTACTATAATATACCAGTTATTTCTAATTTCAAAAATTGTATTACTATTTATAATTATTTTATTATATTTAAATTACCAAACTATTAAAAAACATTTTATATAGTATGAATATTAATAATCAATTTTTTAATAGTATTTATAATTTTAAATATTATATAATATATTTTATATATATAATTATTTATTATTAAAATTTATTAATTATTTTCACGTTGTATTATATACAAATTATAAATTTTATTATTATATTAATACAGTAAAAAGAAGTGGTGACGTATTTAAATAATTATAAATAAATTATAAATATTGCTAAACTAAAACTATTAATTAAACAATTATAAATATTAAAATAGATATAGTTCTTATTCAACAAGTTAAAAATATAGTATAAAAACTAGTAACTTGGAAAGAAAGAAAACAACTATAAGAACTATTAAATTCACTATGTCTGCCTCTGTTGATACAACGAAGCCAATCACTCCAGCAGCCACTGTCGTCAAGACAACAAAAAAGTCGAAAAAGTCTTCTTCGAGCAAACCGATTGAAAAGAGGTCGACCGTGAAATTGGATAAAGGGTTGAATCTGAATGTCTTTGAAACAATTAACTCGTGGCGACAAATCAATGGACTGAAGCATGACGACTACACTCGTTACAGGCGGTTTTGCACTCGACGGTTAAAACGATTGAGGCAGAAAGTTGGTTTAGTCAGTCATTGGAAAAAAACGACAAGCACTACGACTCCAAAGGTATTTAAGATGGTATTCAACAGAATCCATATGATCCCAGAGTACATGAAGACGGGTGAGTGCTTGATGATCCCATTACTCAACTTGGAAAGGTGTTGGGCGTACGCAAACGACTTGACTCCTGCTGATGAGACAGAAGGAAGAAAGGGTCACCATCAACTCCGTCGTATCCACAAAATGAGAAAGTACTGCGATGAGTTGTTAGCGTTGGTGAAGGGGTGCAACAAACGAACACAACGTGAGGTTCAATGTTATGTCAGTTACATTCGCGGGACTGTTGCCTTTGAATGTAAAAAGTATGAGCAAGCTGTTACTGAGTTATTGGCAGCAGTTGGCATTGTTGGATTTATCACAAAGGATATGTCTGAAGAAGCCAAGTTTATCTTCCGAGACATTTTGGACGACTGTAATGCAAAAGTTCGAGTGTGCAAAGAAGAGAGTCCGGAATCCGAGAACGCAACAGTCGAAATTGAGAAGTGGAGAGTTGTCGAAGGAGAGGCGCAAGTGTTTAACATTCCCGATGACACCATGAGAGATGCAATGAAGACATATCGTGAAAGTAAAAGCAAGCCCGTCAACGTACGAATGGATATCATTCAAAAGGTCGTCGTGTATTGTAACAAGATAATTTCGAACCGAAAAATAGAGAACAGAATGTTGTACAAGGACTTGCTTGATTTTGCGTTTGAAGAGAAGTACCAATTGACGGTCGAAGAGATCTTAATCGAGATAAATACAATTGAAAATTTGCTCGGGAAGTTCTCGTTGGTTGAAGGAGCCAAAGAGGGAGACGGCAAAATTGAGACACTGATTGCTTTGTATAATAAATTGGCGGTGATGGAGAAGAAGCGCCAGAAGAAGAAAGAGTGGCGATTGTTAGCGTGGAGCATTTACAAGGACTACTACCACTCTGTTGCATTGTTTAACCAAAAGAAGCTCAAGGAGAGTTTCACCAACCTTAAAAAGATGACAGAAAAGTTGGAAGAAGCAACTCCACTTGTCGAAGGTGAAGAGAGAAAGCGTATTGATTTAGTCGACAAGGCTATTCATGTCTTGTCCGTCCAAATCTTGATGGAACTTTGGAAGGAAAAATCGGGATCAAAACCAGTTGTTGTCGACGTGTGCGCGGATACTTTGACATATCCATCTCTTGAGAAGAAAGGATGGTTTAATTGGTGGTAATACATTTTTGAATCTACTTTGGGGTGCATCTTATTCAATATATTAATATAGTTATTTAATAGTAAAAGTATAATATAAAATATTTGTATAAATAAAATTCAATTTATATTGAGTCACTTGTCCTCTTCGTCTTTGAAAGTTGAAATGCTTGTTGTGAAGAAAGCAGAGATGATGATGACCAAAACGGAGAACCACAAGATGACGCCAACAACTAAACCTAAGAAGCCACTTAGAGGGAAAGCCAATACTATGAATTAGAAGAGATATTTATCATTAATTTTAATAATAGAAAAATAGTTAATATAATAGTAAAATATATTATAATATAGTATATAGAATAGAAATAACAAACAGCCCGATATTATTAAAAATCCGACGACAACCAATCGACTATAAACAAAGGAAAACTGTTTGACGATTTTAATTCCAGAAAGGAACGACATGAACGGGAGGAAAAATAGAATAGCACCAAGAGCTATAACTATACCGGCTTGGAATGTAATAGAAAAAGTGCCTTGAGAATAATAGGCGGGAAGGTTCTTTGGATTTTGGTATTTGATGCGTTTGTTCTTTGCAAAGTGTACTGCGCCAGTCGATACAAGTAAGATTCCACAAGCCAACACCCAAAGGAATGTTAAAGTTTTGATAATGATTCCAACAGAGACTTTCATCTGATTAAAGTTAAAGATTTGAAAGAGTTTTAATACCATCAAAATATGAAAGGAATAAAGAAGAGACACATTTACACTCAAAGTCAATCATTCAAATAGGTATGAAAAAACTAAGTAAACTGCTGGAATAGTCCCTTAACCGGAAAATATTTCTTGAGTCTATTAATTAATTCATGTTATTTTTAAATTGGAGATAACAAATGTCTGTTTCAAATCCACTCTAAAAGTATCTTTGGGAACAAAGCAGTTGTTCATAAGTTATTTATAGTAAAATTTTGTATATGTAGTTACTCCAAAGATAAAAAAACAGGCGGATTTGTTCCAAATTAGTGCCGTCTTTCTTCCTATAAATTCGTGAAGAAATCAATACCAAAAAAAAGATGAAAATAAGTCGTATTAACCCAAGAGCGACTTGTTGAGGGTACTCTCCCACACCATAAGTGTTCTGAAGAAACCTTTAAGCATTTTCGAGTTGCCACTAGTGATATCCTCCGATCCAATCCCAGTCTTGAGGAGTCCGAGTGAATTGACCATTTCAATTAAGACTGTACAATTGGTTCTTCTCTGGAAGATGTTCAACGGTTTGTTTCCTCTTGGCTTTGCGATCAAGTTCCAGTTAACCGATCCGGGTTTAATCTTATCAACAATTTGGCAAATGAGTAATCCGTCGTTGAAGTCCTTATCGAAGTTTTTAACTTGCAATCCGAATTTGGAGAACCATTCGACGATCAAACTAGAGTGTTAGTGCTCTTGTATACAATAGATTGGTTACAAACATGTGGAGTTAATAGAATAGATGTAACAGCACTACATACATAATATACAATACAATAAAGTAGATGACAAACTTCTCTTCCAAGTTGGAGACGTGATTTGGGCGTGGTAATGATTGGACAATTGCTTCTTCCTTCTTTTTGTCTTCTTCGAGTCGTTTGGCTTCTGCCTGTTTTCTAAGCTCTTTGAGTTGTTCGTCCATCTTCGCGCTGTCTTTTGTGATCTTTTCCAAGAACGCCGTCTTAGCTTCTAACATCTCTTCGTTCTCCGTTTTGGATTGATCGATTTCTTTTGCTTTGGATTCCAACGAAGAAAGGGTCTTGTTCTTCTCTTCCAAATCGCCCTCCAATTTTGTTTTGCTCTTCTCCAAGAGGGTCTTCAAGTCTTCTGCGTTGCCAGAAATCTCCTCGGAGTTGATTTGTTGCTTTTGTTCTTTCAAAATGTTGATCTCGTGTTGTACGTTTTCTATTTGCTCAATAAGAGGAGCCAAGACGTCTCGAAGTAAATTGTCGAATTCGGTCTCCGTGGACGTGTAAAGCTTTTTCACACTTTCTCGACCCGCCTCCGACTCCGTTATCAGTTTTTGCAGAGAAGTTTGAAGACTTTTCTGTTCATCTAACGAGTCGACTTTCTTCTTCTCATATTCTTTCTCCATTTTTCTAATCTTTTGGCCTTGTTCTAAAACTTTTTGACGGGCCTGTTGGTTCTCCGCGTACTTCACAAGGTAGTCTCCACGGACGAGACGGTTTTGGTTGACCGAGCGTTGGAGTTCACCAGCAAGTGGTGATCCCAAGTTGAAGGTCGGCTCGACAGCAAACAATATTTTGAGAAAGCCGTCCGTCAGCATTTGGTACTGACGGTATATGATTTCGGGGTCGCAGGTCATCAGAGTATTATCGTCGAGGTTCTGAAACACGTAATCACCCATTCTTATTTTCGAGATTAACTCGTGATTAATTTATGAGTGATTAAGATCAAAAGTGGTGTATTTTCTATTTGATTCATTTTTTGAATAATTATGACTTTTAATCAACATAAAATTTCGGGAAAACATCAAAATAATTCAATTATAAAGTTTTGGGTTCGATATTTTCAAGTAATTTTTTTCCGTTTTTAGTTTATTGAACATCTTGAAATGTTCCTGAAAAATGATTTTGTAGATCGTTGTTGGCGTTTTGGGTGTGAATTGGCAATAGCGCTTTGTAATAATAATTGAGTGTCATTTACTATTAATTATTGATAAATTGTAGTTACTTATAATTAATTTCTAATTGATTGATTTAGAAAGCCAATTTGTAAATCAAATTATGAAACTTCGAAAAGGCGAACTCTTATTTTAATTATTTTGTCGTTTAATTATAATTTATATATAGTTTCCCATATTTGTTGTGTATATATATAATTATTTATAATTTATAGTTATAAAACTTACATATATTTATAATAATTTGAAACAACAATGAATTGTAGTGATAGTTAACAAAAAATAACTACTATGTTATTGAAATTATATTATAGAACTACAATACAAAATAAACACTCGTTTTATAACAAAGTTAAATAAATTGAATAACAATTTTAGTTTTTTAACTACTCGAAAAATGTTATTTGAAAGAACTTTCCTTTTTTCAACTGTAATATTCTCCAAAAGCAGAGTCAATCAATGGACCTTATCACTAATTTCCTAGGAGACTTTGTGAGCAAACAAAAGACTGTACAACCACAAAGCATGTTATCGGAGTCGAACCGACGAGCAATAGATTGGAGTTATGGGGTCATAGCTTTTGGCACGCGGACGAGTATCATAGTGGTAGACCCCAAAAATTCGACTGTGATCAATTTGTTGAGTCACCACATTGAGGACGTCACTGCTTTAAAATTCCAAAGCAACTTTCCGACGGAAGAACCGTATTCAAAACGCCCCAGTAAATTGGTCAGTGGGGACTATGCTGGGAATATCATCTTATGGGACTACTTTGTTAATGTCCCTCTCATCACATTTACTAACACGCATAACTCCCCAGTGACGTGTATTCAATGGCATCACTCGTCCCCAAATATCTTCCTTGCACTCTATGCGAAAGGGTCAATAACTTTCTATGACACGAACACGGGGCTTCCGGTAAGAAACATTGCACAGAACTTCTTACAAAACGCCTTTTACTTTGAACAAGACCCGTATGACTCCGACCAAATCGCAGCTGCAACAAGAGACAACGTGTTTTTATTGTCTACTAAACAAGTCACTGCAACGGAAATCTACTCAACCCCCGACGTCGTGAAAAGTTCAAAACAAGACAAGTTAGTCGTACGTTCAATCAAATTTGCGAAATCGCCACAACGCCTTTTTGTGTTGTCGTCGACGGAGTTAGTTGTGTTTGACACAGTTTTGGCGCAAGCCATCGGGTCTCTTGGGTTACTCCCTCCACCTCTCAACTTCTCGTTTTCAACGGATGAGACTACAATGAATGTCTTTAGTGAGAACCATACATTGTCCCAGTATCGAATCGACTTAAATAATCTTTCTTTTGATACACCAGCTATTGCAGTCTTAACTAAAGTCCTTCCTCCCCTCTTTCATTTAATCAGAGATCCAATGTCAAACGACATTTGTTTGCAACTCGAAAATGGTTCCCTCGGCATCTTACACGGAGACAAGTCAAGCTTCAATACATCCCTTTCAGACACTTCCTTCTCATGTCAGAGCTCCACCCTTACAACTTATAATGAAAACACTCTTTGTGTTGGTACGGAGAATGGCGACGTCTTCTTCATGGACGTCGACTCTCAAAAAATCAGTGTAACGAATGTGCAGTCGATTGGATGTCCTGTCCTTGGGATCACAACGGCACCCGACGCAATATTTGTGTATGGAGTTGTGTCGCACCCAAAGACCTCACACTCCGGAGACTTCTTTGAAAATCGCGTGGTGCGGTTTTCAAGTAAACGGGAGAACTCGGTCTTTCCTAATGACTTGTTTACGTCGAATAAAGAGAAATTGTGTGACGTTGTGATCTCGACGAACGGGGCGATTGTGGTGTTCCAATTTAGTACCAAATTGCAGTTTTGGGAGAACAAGAGTGATAACAAAAGTGGCCCCAAACGAGTGTTAGAGATCTCCGTGTCGTCGACCATTGCAGTGAAAATCACACAAACGGAGTCGTCGTTTTTGTGTTCGAGAGACAAAGACATTTTGATTGTGACATTGTCCAAATTTGAAGTGAACATTCGCCCGATTTACACGCACCCCTGTAAACTCCGGTTCCTCGCAAACTTGTCGCAAACGGCTTTTGTCTTTGTCGACGTCAAAAATGTCGTGCACTTTGTCACGTTGTCGCAACTGTTGAGGAACAACGTCGAGACGTGCGACAAACGAGTCATTTTAGGTGAGAAAATAGTCAACATCCGGGCATGTCCTGTTGAAGGGAACAAATTGATTGCGTTGATGACGGAGAAGCAAAACTGTTATATCTATGACTATTCGAGTCAAGCCGGATATCTTCGAAATGACTTCAACGTCTTCATGCAACAACGTCGGTTGAAGACGTTATCAATGTGTTGGGTGAAAGGAAACATCCCCGTCGTTTTAACTCATGTGCGACAAATTATGACGTTTTCAAAGGAGTTGGAGAAAGAGGCAAACGAAGGCACACTCATTGCAACACCTCTCCATTTACACACCGGTCTCAATTTTAGAAAGGCAATGACTTTAATGTTCCATGGATTCTTCGATGATAGTTCTTTCTCTGTGACACTGAGAAAGTATTTTAACTCCACTAATATAGCAGAAAATTTCGATAGAAGACCTATCTGTGAATTAAGTAAATGGCTTGAGAGTATCACGATGAAAAATGAATTAATACTATATAAAGAAATCATTACTAAAGTCGATTCTTCACTCAACGACTTGTTCATTGCAGTGGCAGAATTATTTAAATTCCCACAATATGTACAGTTCTGGGGATATGTAAAGAAGTACATTATGGTCTTCGTTTGTTCTTCTTTCATACATTAATTAATAATATACTATAATTATAATATATTATTATAATATACTATAATTATATTAGTATTATAATATAATTATAATATATTATTATATTACTAACTTTATAGAAACTCCGTGACGATGCACAGAAGTATCAAACCATTATAAAAGATGAATCTAATCACACTAATTTACAAGACGTCGCTACAACTACACGCGTGAAATCAATTCCACATGTCATTGAAATACCACATCCGCCACCAGGGTTATACCCGGAGTTATTTATTAACACGTCTTTAATAGCAGACACCGAAGAAATGCGAATGGAGAAATATGGTCTTTCGATGAAGGACGACACGGAATTGAGTGACATAGAAAAGAACATCAAATTGAATGAGTTACAACTGATCTTTGGGCGCAAGTCTACGATCATCGGGCAATACATGGACATGCTTAAAAAGACTCAAAAAATCGAATATGGGCTTAAGGCGATACTTTTATCCTTGACCACATACCCAGAAGAGTTAGACAAAACCATCGAGAATGTCGTGAATGAGTTATTAGACACTCGGCGTGAAGAAGAGGCGGTAAGAGTCTTAGAGAATCTTGGCAACTATCAATCCGCCTGTCAATTAATGATTCAGACAGGAAAGGTCTTTGAAGCAGTACACGCATCGACTATTCATATGCCCCTCAACAAAATTATGACCATCATATATATCCCTTGGATCGTCCAACAAATAGGTAAAGGCCACTACGTCACGGCGGCTATAAACCTAATGAAGATAGGCGGCTTCATCGATGCCGTCCGTGTACTCTTTTATGGAAAATTCGTGCAACTCGCCGCACTTTTGGCCGATGTCATCCTCTCAGAGAAAATCGCCACCTTTACCACTGATGTGTCTTTTAACATGAAAACCGTCGTTTTCGAGAGTCCCAAAAATTACACCACTTTCGGTGACATCTGCAAAGATGTTTACGAGCGGTATTCGCAAATTTTAGAAGAACAATTCGCCATCAAAGAGGTCGCAGACTTCTACAAATTCAAGATAACACTCATCAAGTAACTGTTGGTTTACAAATTGCTATTAAAAATGTTTTTCGTTTTTTAAATCACTTGTTTGTTAAAATGTTATTTAAAATGTTATTCTTCGTTCAAGAATTGTTTAAATAAATGTTTTTAAAATGTTTTTTTGGGAAAATGTTATTTAAATTGTTATTTTTTAAATACCATTTTATTACAAAATATATAAAAAAATAATTTTTATAAAACAAATGGGTATAAAAATGGTATTCAAAATGTTATACAGAGAAGTCTGAAGAACGACCACAAAAGATGTACTTAGAAGAACAAAAGGAACATTGACAATGCAGCCAAGGAAGTGAGAAGAGCTGGAGTACTATTTTTCTTAGCAAGGGATTGTTTAGTGATTGTTCCGTTTTGGTAGTCAATGATTTCAGTAATGTTTTGTTCGGCCTTTGCAGTAGAGTTGTCTGAAGCGATTGTCTCGTTAATTTTTTTGATATCACACACGAAGGAACAGGCTTCAGCAACGGTTTGAAGTTTATCCTCGACGTTTTCATACATTGTTCTCCACATATGCTTTGCAGCTCGACACATACACCTTTGTTCGACTGTAGTTGGGTGGTCGCAGTACTCTTCATCTTCGATGACTTTGTCTTTGCATAAGAAACACTGTGACTCGGTTGAATTGCGACACGTCTCCGCGTTGAATCGCTTCTTTTCGGAATTCACAAGTTTGTTCGCAAGTTTGTCGGCGTACTTGGAAGAACGCTTCTTTAAATTAATCGACTCGCTCAGCGAAATTAGCAACAAAAATACGACTGTCAACATCCGCGTTAAAAATATGATTTTTGAGTTCACTTGATTTTGTATCCAACAGTTTTCAGTAAAAAATGTTATTCGTAATGTTTTTCTTTTTTTTGTCGGTTTTTTTTGGCATCTTCGTGTTTTTATTACCATTCTTGATGTTTTTAAATATTATTTTAATTATAATTAGTTTTATATATGTATAGTTTGTCACAAGATTTAAAAATAAGTACTCTCATAAATCAAAATGATTAATTTAATTTATTAGAAAAAGTATTATTTTTGGCACTTTACAATGAATTTGAATTAAAACGAAAGAAAGAGAACACGTAAACAATCCATTACAACTCAAATCCATCTTCAGAGCACATAACTCCAACTCGAATTATACTATTAGTCAACATCAAATATAAATAATAAACATTATAATTTTATAATATAGTATTTTTTATTAATAAATCATTATTATAATATTATAATAATTCTGATTAATAAAATACTATAATAATTACTAATAAAATATAATAAAAAATAACCAAACTTTTGGGCCATTCCAGCAATTTGAAGATTTGTGTGTGTTGTGTAATTCTGCAAAGTCTGAAAGACGTTGAGTTGATTTAATTTGTTGATCCAGTCCATATTTCGAGTAGAAACGACAATAAACAACACTTGAAAAAAGTCCAAGATATCTTCCAAGTCTGAAATGACATTAAAAATGACTTGAAACACGTCGAAAAAATCGGGGATTTCTCCCAATTTAGAAATACATAAAGGGATGTTCTGTGAGACTGAAATGACGGTAGAAAGTGTTTTAAAAGCTTCCCGTGCGACCGACGCATTTTGTTTCAAAATAGATAACACCAATACACAACAAATCGGTGAGTCGATGAATTGACTCAAAACTGCCTCTGCTTGATTTGTTTGTAATTCTTGCGTGCACGCGACGATGTTTCCACAGACCCATAAAAATGTTCTCAAAAATTCCTCATCGACGAAAGTTGCTTGACTCATTTCTTCCAGAAAATTGGTACTCACCATTTTAATCAATGAAAACGTCTCGTCGAGAAACATTGTGACCAATTGAGTATGTTTGTATGCGTAAACGTTTCCAATACATTTGAATGCGTCACGGTCAACCCATGCCTCTTTATGAACTTCTCGAATGATTTCAACAATGTTCATATCCAAATGAAGACTCTCGTAATGGAGAATATTTCTTACACAAGAATACCCAACTTTCTCTGTTACAAAAGTGGATATCATCGGTATTAATTTCATCACATTCTTAATCGACATGAGAGGCGTCGTTTGCAGCAAACACTCATATAAATAACTTAACGTGCGGAGGTCCACAAGTTTTGTCGAAAGCATCTCGATAAGTTTCATGCTGATCAACTGGTCGCGCACCGACACGTCGTCGAACACGAGGTTGGCTAATGTCGTCACGCCCTCGTCGTTAGTGTCAGTGAACTATAATTTATAATTTAAACAAACTATATTTACTATATCCCCACTTGATGTTTGAATTGCATTAAAAACGTCGAATTGGCACCCATTTTGTATTAACGTATCGAGACACCTCTTATGAATCGATACTATTCGTCATATAAGAATTTGTTAATATAGTTTGTTTGATAGTTCGAATATAACAAAATGAAACAAACAAGACGAGAGACAGATCAGCGTCAATTTGATGATCTCCAAATTGGCACTTGTTTCGATGAAGTGTTTCAAGTGCTTCACCATTTGGTCGATGTCGATTTGAAGAATGACGTTCTCGTCTCCAAGTGACACAGAGACTTTCTTCAGAACTTCGATCTGTGTGATTTCATCCTTTCCTTGAGCACAGTCGAGTTCCATTAGAAAATCCTTCATTGTAGTTTCACTCACAAGGGACCCACTATACATTCCTCTCTGGACTTTCATCATTTCCTCTCTCCTCTTGCTCCTCAGAAGAGATGTGTCTTCTCTCCTTCTAAAGCACAGATCCTCCAATGTCCCGCCCTTTCTTCCGTTGTTCATGTGTCTTCTTCTCTTCTTTTTCAGTTGTTTCTTTTATTAACTCTTTTTAATTTGATTATTATTATTTTTATTATAAATGTCTTATTATTAATTTATCAGTATATTACTATAATCGAATTGTAATTCCAAAAGATTTCATAAATAATTCATTTATACTATTTCATTAGTTTTAAATGATTACTATATTATTAATAGAATTACTAGTTTCTATTAGATTAATTGAAGTTATGTTATATATAACATTTCATAGTCAATGGTGTTGTCTTATCCGACTAGAAACCTAAAAGAAGGCAAAACAACGCTCAATAACGATCTTAGTGTTTCTTGGTTCCCTTTCCCTTGTATTCCTTGGCTGCGTGTTTCTTAGCGCAGACCTTACCGAAGTGCTTAAGAGCTGCTCTTGTGCTCTTCTTTCCTCTAATCAACAAGGTGTCCTTTCCAGTAGGAGCTTTCATGGCGAGCTCATCGAATCTGAGGCATTTTCCGCCGGCCTTAGTGATAGCCTGTTCAGCGGTCTTTGTGAATCTCAACGCGCAGACGGTCATTTTTGGGAGGACTGGCATTCTCTCGTCGAAGGTGACAGTGGTGATGCAGACGGCGATTTTTTGTTCTCTGTCCTTGAGGAGTGCTGCGATTTTGGAAGTCGAAACGACGGGTCTGTTGACTCCACTCAAACACAATCGGTGGTGGACGGTCTTCGCAAATTTGGATTGGGTTCTTTTGGCCAAAAAGGCATATATTCTCCCTAACAATTTCATGTACGGGTTAGTGCCTCGTGGGGTGCGCGAGACGTGCTTTCTTTTGTTGTGTCTGTCAAGGTCAATTGCCATTCTCCGCTGAGTGCACTTCCGCAGTTCTTAGGGTTTTCTTTTTTCCTCACATCCTCCAGTACTAGACGCTATTAACTCTTTTATTATTCTTTTTACTAGTCATCTCTCCCCTCCACAAAACAATTCAATGACCTTGTGTGGTTTTTTTATAGTATTTTTACTATTAATATATAATACCTTCAATCGTGAAGAAAACGGAATAACAATTTTGGTATAACAAAATTTAAAATGTTTTAGGACTTCATCTGAAAAATTGAGATGGATACAATTAAACGATTTGACGCCTATCCGAAGCTGAATTATGACGTGCGGGTGCGTTACTGGCTTGGTGGGTTATTGTCGATCTTATGTCTTCTGACGATGGGGTGGATGTTTTACTCTGAGGTCCAGGATTACTACACGGTGCAAATGCGCCCGACACTGCGTGTCGACGAGTCGAAGAGTGAAAAATTGCCGATCAACTTTGATATCACTTTTCCTCGAATATCGTGTTCTTTGATGACGATTGATGTCTTGGACACAACTGGGGAAGTCTCCATTGATATCGAATCGAATGTGAATAAGAAACGATTGAACCCGCACTCGATGACGGAGTCTTCCAACAAAGCCACTGCTCATAAAGTGTATGGTATTGAGTGTCCTGCTTGTGAAGAGTCAGTTGACAAGAACAAGTGTTGTTTTACATGTGACGAATTAAAAGAGTCCTACAAAAAAGCCGGTAAAGAAGTCCCACCCAATGCGGTTCAGTGCCAATTAAAGAACATCCAGAAAATGGCTTTAGCGTTAGATGGGGAAGGGTGTCACATGTATGGGTCAGTCTTTGTCAATCGGGTCTCTGGCAATTTCCATATAGCTCCTGGGATGAGTGAACAACAAGGTGAAGGGCACCGGCACTCAGCGGAGTGGATTGGTTCATTGAATTTGACGCACACCTGGAATTCCTTATCGTTTGGGGACAATTTCCCGGGGATGATTAAGCCGATGGATTCAATTCAAAAGGTAGATGTCACGAACAACTCGATGTATCAGTACTTTGTTCAAGTTGTTCCAATGACGTATTTTGGTTTAGATAAGAAAGTAGTGAAAACGAATGGGTATTCTGTGACGGAACACTACCGTTCAGGTAATTTAAAAACAATGGAACAAGGGGTTCCGGGGGTGTTTGTGTTATATGAGATCTCATCCATGGAAGTGTTATATACCGAAGAGACCGGTTCATTCGGACATTTACTCACAGGCATCTGTGGGATTGTCGGGGGCATCTTCACGATATTTAGTTTGCTCGACGCATTCATCTTCCATACCGTCGGAGGGTTGTTCACCAACAAAGCACACAAGCTTTAATCTATCGATTTGTGTTCTATTGGATTCGTTATTCAAGCTTTAACCTAACTATATGAATAAACTCGCTTCAATCAATGAGAACTACAGAGTATTTGAACACCATTTTCGGCAGCAAGTCGTTCTATCTCGGGAGGGACGGTCCCTTCACAACTCGTCGCATATAACCCAACAACGTAATCCTCGCGCATCCCTTTCACTTTCGATATATAACTTCGGTCCGGTCTTAAGAGTGCTGTCATTCTGTATGTCACTCTCCGCTCTATAGTATATTATAGTATATTAAAATATTGAATAGTAGTAAATAAGAGTTGAAGACATTAATTTTATATTAGTTTAAGATAGTATATATATATATATCAAACAAACCCACTAAATTTCGCAGAGTAAAAGTCTTTGTCATACTCCATCATTCGTCGGCAATTCTCGCATTTGTGACTCTCAAATTGTCCTTCGCTCTTAATTAATCCACAGATTTTACAACACCGTAGCTTGTCGAAGTTGTCTGGAATGATCGGGTCCATTGCGTCTCGGAATCGTTCTTGTTCTTCCAACTCTTGGTTCACATCAAATGGTGACGGTTCCATCTTTATTTTGTAGTTTCTCTTTTCCGTCTAGTTTTTCTAATTCTTTTTATAACATTTTTATTATATATTTTGAACCAACGAAGGTCACCTTCATTTAATTAAAAGAAAAAAAGACACAAAAATTAAATAACATTTAAATAACATTTTAATAACAATTTAAATACCATTTTTGAATACCAAAATTTAAAAAGGTAAAAGCGAACAAAGAACATTCTAACTTAGAGGAAGGCACATCCACCCTTCTTTTTATCCTTAGCTGGTTTAGACTTTCCTTCAGCCTTTTTCCCAGACTTATCACTTTCGCCGCCCGCTGGAGTTGCGACCTCTCCTTTGTGATTGATTTGCAACAACTTTCTTCCAAGAGCAACGAAGAGCTCATCAATGTTAATTCGCTTAGCTGCGGAAGTTTCGAAGAAATCGATTCCATATGTCTTTGCAAGGTCCATCCCATCTTGTTTGGACACAACACGTTGATCCTCAAGATCACACTTATTCCCAGCTAAGATCAAAGCAACATCATTGTCCGGTCGGATCACTGAAATGCTATCTTTGTGGTTTCCGATGGCCAAAAACGAAGCTTTGTTCTCGATAGAATACACCAACACAAACCCATCTCCCTTCAAGTAGTATTGTTCTCTCAAAGCGACTAGTCGTCAATACACACATTTATAGTAAAAAAACTATAATAGTACTATTAACAAACTATATTCCTCTTGCCCTGCAGTATCACTACAAGTGAGTTGTTTGCGCTGTTGTTACTCTACAATGTATTATAAGTCAACAAACATCAAGTTGAAAGTGACGTTGTGTGAATCTACCTTTATACTCTTGTTGTAGGTATCTTCAATAGTAGGGTTGTACTCTGCAGAAAAGACTTCCCGCACAAACTGAAGGCAGAGAGCGGACTTTCCGACCGAACCTTCCCCGATAATTACTACTTGGTACCCGTCTGACATCTTTTGAATATTGAGTTCAGCTTTCGATGTTAAGAAGGTAAAGGAAAATAGACTTTACTCCAATTTCGATTCATTTAAACGTCGGTTTTTAATTACTTGTACTTGTTGTTTAATAATTTTATTATAGTTTTTTAATAATTGATTAATTTGACCTTGGAAACTTCTTTTTCGAAATTTCGTCGTTGTGTTTTATTCTTTATTGGTTTAATAGAATATAAAATTAATTATTAATTTATTATAATTTGAAAGTTTTTGTTTTGTTATTTCAATGTCAACTGCATATACCGATTATGGTTTGCACATATTATCATTTTATTATTATTTTATCAGTTTTGGTTTTAAAAAGATGAAATTGCCATTTACCTCATCAATTATGTTTATAATTACAAACTAGAACATAATAGTTACTATATGTAATATCATAACTGTTGTATTTTTATACTATTTTTGATTTGTATTTATATAATTGTATTTATATTATTCGTTTTTTCTGTTTTTTTTTCAAAAAGTGTTAAAAATGTTTTTTATTTTTGTTTTTACAATTAAATATTTTTTTCTTTTTGTTAACATTTTCTATTTTTTATTAAGAATAAACCAAATGTTCTTGAATTTATTTATATTGTAAATTTTTACCAAAAAACTACAATACAACTCTGGTATTATTAACTAAATAATAAATAACTTATTAAATGTTAATAAACTTTTTGCTTTTTTTTGATTTTAATTTTACAAAATGTGAAATAAATTGTTGTTCTATTCCTCTTTGAGTTATAGTTAATGATATATGAATAATTATTAACAATTAATAATTTAATTTATAGTAATTCCAATACCAATTAATAAATAAAACAACTATTCACAACTAATAAATTATTTTAACACACCAATAAAACTTTTCTAATTTCTTCATTAAATTGAACACACAAAGCAAAATCAGTTTTATGAAGACAGTGACATCATTCAATTTTGCAAGTAATTTACTTTTTAGTGCTCTTGATATTGACAACAACGAAACGGTAGACCGCAACGAAATGATGTCAGTGTTTCTTCCTCTTCTATTGATTGAAGATGAAGCTGGTCAAGAGAGTGTGAATTTTATATTTGATTTATGTGATGTCGATGGGGATGGTTGTCTTAATAAAGCCGAGTTCAATCATTTTGTGTATTGTTATAACATCTGCTGTCAACCAAATTTCATCAAAATCCGCGCAGACTTTATGGTTGTTCTCTTTATCGAGTTTTTCAGGGCAATCGACACAAACATGGGAGGGACAATCGACTGCACTGAAGCCTCCGCCGCCCTTCAAAAGATATCAAAAGGGCAATTTTCGATCTTGTCCGACTACAAAGAAGTCTTCGAGTCTCTCAACACCTATTGTAAGACGGCGGGGAAGAACAAAGAAATTTCGCAATTTGAGTTTCTTTGTATTTCCATTCGACAAGACGTCTTACTCATCCACCTCGAAGCAAAGTATAAAGACCTTTTTAATCACATCGACACAGCACGACTGGGGTTCTTGTCTGAGAAATCACTCAGAGCATTTCTGACTCACAAATTCACTCGAGGAATCGAGTGGAAACAAACACCAAAAGTACTTCTCGACACAGTGTGTCAAACTTTTAAAACACAGACACTCAAATCAGTACAATTCGGATACCTTTGGGAAACAATTTTGGACGTTGTCGCAGGCAGTACATCATTCACTAAGGAAATGTGTTTCAGAGTCGTCTTTAAACTCGTCGACACAGACTGCAAAGGTGTTCTGACCAAAGACCAAGTCGTTTTCATGTGCTCCCTCCTTGGAATCAATAACAAAAAGTCCCAGATCACAGGATTTTTGGCAACAGATAGTACATTCACTATTGGCTGTTTTGTAAAGGAGTTTTGCTAAAATTCATTGTATTTCTATAGTCTATTCTTTGTAGATGTTATCAAGAAAATTGTCACTTTTGAGTATCTGACATGAAATTAAACAAGTTATAAAATTTTACTCGATTTATACAAAATAGAGTAAAACCCCACAAAGGCGGTACTTTGTTGAAAATATTAAAAATTAAAACAAGACAAAAATCCGTCAAATGACAATGATTAAAAACAAAATAAAATTAGTTTGCACGTGTTTTTCCGAAGACCTTGTGCAAAAAGTGAGTCGAAGGTTTAGGGAGTTTCTTTTGGTGCATAAGCGCAGTGTCGTCGCAAGCCTTTTCAGTAACATGGTAGGGGAAATATATTTCATGTTGAGGAGCAAACACCTTTCTGATTTGGTCAATTTCAAAGTCATACTCTTCTTGCGTGAGTTCGGTCTTTCTTGGGAATCGCATGTCTGTGAATATGTTTCTCAATGATTCAATGGTCTGATCATATTCACTATCAGTAAAGACCTGCTTGACGTTGTGTGGATCTTCTCCTCCGTTGAAAAGACGTCTGACCAAGAACAGTCTGTTGTCGAACTTTTTGTCTCTTATAATTTCGCATGGTTTCTCGGTTTGGTCATTTGCTTTGACTTCTGGTGTTTCTGATCCTAATAAGTGTTCCAGT